TTCCGAGTTCAGAGGATCCGGCATCAGGTCACAGAAGTTCTCTGTGATCAGAGGGTCATGTCCCGCATGTCCCCATGCGAGGTCATAGTCCCGAAACGTTTTTTATGCAGTTCGCAGGCCTCGCGCGAATCCCATATGGATGACGATCAGTCTACGTGCGCAGATGGCCCCCCTGGAAGCGAAATCACGAAGTCAAGGAGCGAGTGTCTCGAGTTCCTTCGGTTAGGTCAAAATACCTAATTGAATGTGCACGTCGAGTAATTGGCACATTTCGTCAAGGTGCTGTCAATTCTACTGCTGCGAATTGATCGCGACACGTCTATCCTTCTTCCGAGGCGCAAAGGTGACTGTTTGTCCTTTTCAAAGTTCACCCTGTTATCTTTGGATGCGATCGAATCCGCTGAATCGCCTCTAGCAGTACGAGCACGAGTGTGGAAATCGAACGGACGAGCTGCAAAGAGACGCACCAGACAAATGTCAGTGATCCTATGTAAATCCTCGGTGATTTCACTCGCGCTCTCGAAGTCTCTCTCCCATTCTATTGGGATTGTTATCTAATTGTATAGCCTCAGGAGGTAGACTCTGAACCGAAGCGAAATATTTTGGAAATTCCACTACCGTTCCAAATGTAAAAGAGTTTGCTATTTTTTTCCCATTTACCGATAAACGTTGAGTCGATGACTCATCTCGTTCCAGCTTATTGTCTTTTAGACTTACAACCTTTGTCCATTTGGTGAATTTGCACGCCGGAAGTGTCGGCCGCATCGGCGATAGCCTTTTACCTTGGACACTACGAATAATTCAAATCCACACGAGTGCGCGGTCTTACGAAACAGCACAAGGACATTGGAAAATTCATGGGACATCATTAAATTTAAATATTCCGTAATTGCGAGTGTTAAATCAAAAGCAGCTCTTTTCACGAATAAATGTCTCAAACGTATATTTGTAGATGCGAAGAGTTGAGTTTCTTCCTGTATCGAAAAGGATAAATAAATTGTGCTGAATTTATAGAATTTGTAGAATTTGTAGAATTTGCAGAATTCGAAAGGCGTTTGTGGCCTTAGTGATCGCGGAGGCAAATTATATGTATCTGGGATGAGTGTCGTGGTCTTATCAGAGGACTGCAGGACGCACAGAAATACGGGTGATGAGACATGCCGGTAGAATCTGGTATGCTCTGCTCACTTGCGAATCAGCAATTCTCCTGTGGTATTCGATCGATTCGTACATGTCACGTGGCCTTCAAATTCAAATGTCAAACTTTCCGGGCTTTCGAGTGTCTAAAATTCTACTTTAGTCCGGAGTTTCAATCTCGTTACGCTTTCTAACCGAGTCTGCTGACAGCTTTACCTCGGATGGTTTCTTGTGGCCATTTTCAAAATTGTTCTTTGACTCGGCCACAAAATAAATCGGCGACACTTTCATGCCCAAATCGATATTTCCATTTGACTTTGATCATTTTCGAATGATTTAACTTTTAACCTGAAAAATCAAATTTCAAGTGAAAATTACGTGAAAGTAAATGATGTGTTATCACCGTTTTCTTGCTGCTGGTTTTTATTAACGCTACCGTCAATGGCCGCATGAATCTCCGTTTCTTCTTCTTCCCCTCGAGGAGAGAAGAAGGAATCGTGGAAAGTGTCGATTGCCGAGATGAAATGTGCAAAACCGTTAGGTGACATATTGTTGCTATAATTTCTCCCCTAAGATTAATTCCCATCGAACGGTTACATTTTTGACACAGTTGCCGTTACAGCATTACGGTTGCCATAAGATACAATTTAAAAGAATTTCTTTGTGTTTTTCGGTATTCATATCTTTGCACGTATCGATGTTTTCTATAAACGTGATGTGGGAGTTGGTTTTGAGAATAGATCTTCCCTCCGGCGCTTCGGAAATGTTAGTCAGAGCCTGAAAAAGAAACGAGAAAAACAATTAGGCGTTTCTCTGAAATCTCATGAGAAAGAAATGGAGTCGTTGCCGAGAACAAAGGGACATTATGATCTTGTTTTGAAAGCCAAAGTAACGAAACGAGGTCAACGACTTCCGCCAGACGAAATCGCCCGTTCGAGATTCGACCGAAGAAATGAGCCGGTCGGGTCTATGATCTCGAATTCCTGACTCACATATCAGAGCGAAATAATTCTCTTGTTGCGCCGACGCCGTAATAGCTAAAACTATTAATAAAGATTATTAGGTCATCGGAGAATCCAGGAGAATTGAAAAAAAATAATAATCGACGGTACAAGTACTCGATTAGCGATCTGTGATTCGCTCCTGAGAAATGCTAAATCGAAGGACATTCAAGTGTCACGACCTACTGCCGTGTGAGGATTTGAAAGGTTGCAACGATTTCAAAGGACCGGTCATTGTTGCCAACCTTAATGGCCATCAGCTGCGATTGTCGACAGTGATGGCTGCCAGCCAATTCGAGGAGCCTCCCAATAATTTGCAGCTTCAAAGCTAGAAACTTGCCCGGAGTCGTGGTGGTCAGGAAGGCAATGGCGGTTGCAGCTTTCGAGTGAACTGCTGCTCTCTGTAATTTAACGTGTTTCGCCATCAGCTGGGAAATGGAAAATGATCGCAGATTACGAATCTACTTGATCGTCCAGCATGTCCTTCAGACGAGGAAAAAGGTCCTTGTCGATGACTACTTGCTTCAGCGCAGATTCTTGGCAGAGAATCGCTAGACACGAGAGTGCTCCTGCTAAAGTTTCTTGGTCCTTTCGGCGCAGAAGGATCGTCAGTTTCTCCACGATGTCGATTTCCATCGCGTGTGACTTGAGCTTCCGGTCGAGTAGCGATTTCAGGATATCAAGGAGCACGAGCTGACAAGAGGAAGCCATTATTCCGATGGGCCGATAATTATGTCGATGCTCTCGCCCTGCCAAATCGGCCTACCAGTATAGCTTTTCTTTCGAACGTAAGTCGATTCACGATCAACTCTATGAATCCGTAGCTGCAGAGATCCTCGGCAGCTGAAGGATATCGTTTCGAAGAGGCATTATTAGGACGATTCTATATTGAATCCCGAGGCCGTGTTCTCTCAACCCTTTCGAATTCTCACCGCAAGCTGCTCGGGATAACATTTCGACGGCCAGTGCCATTTTTATGCGCACAGCGGCCAAACGATCCCCAAGGCCTTTCGACAAGTTGCAAAGAGTCGAAGCGTTCTTCAAAATCGCCTCCCTCCCCGCCGACCTACCGCCGATCGTAATGAACGCCATTGCGACTCGTTCTCTGAGGTAGGAGTCTTGCGACACCAGTAAATCCGACAACCTGAAGATCGAAGAAGAGAGTTTTAATGCAAAGACGATATCCTCTCGTGTCCTCGGTCTGACGTCTCTCGGACGACTTGTCGCACGAAGCCCCAATGGGAAACAGGGGAATAACTAGCAGCTACGATAAGCGTAGAGTCGTAGAAGAAGAAGGAAGCCGATAGCCAAGGCATTATATCTCGCGAAGCAGAAGCAAGTGGGAAAGGAAGTAGCAGCGGTCGCTCGGGGGTCCGTTCCAACGAAGGCGCAAGCTCTCAGCACCTGTCCGGAATGCGCAGTTTCAGCGCCTCGGACAATTTTTCGGGATTTACAAGGATGTCCGCGATCGTCGTAACTGCTCTTCGAACGATTAATGGGTCGTCCACGTGCAATTCATTTCTCTGGAAAAGTCAATCGCAACTTACAGGAACGTCCTACGCTCGCATTCTCGAATAGGATCGCCCTCGTCGTCAGTTGTCGTTCTCCTTACCAATTTTGAAAGGGCGAACGCACGGTAACCGCATCTCGCCCGCGTCACGTCCACGTGCGGTGCGTAACACTGCGGTTGCTTGGTCGACAGGCGTGAAATCCCAACATCCGCGTTTCGACAGTCCGTTACCTTGAACATGGCTGACATTACGATTGATCAATGCTGCAGCTTTGACAATTGATTAGGTTAATGCGCAATAAGATAACTGTTACCCTCGTCCATCGTCCGATTTAGGATCCTTCCAGATATTTTGCTGTTGCATCCCTGCATAAAACTGTGCAATGCTGGATGTGGATACATTTTAATGATCGTTCAATGTCCAAACGGACGTTTCATCGAAAGTCCACTTTCCTACCGCGTCACTTCTCTGTCCGACAGAAGACTTCATTTGTCTTGCAAGCAGGTTAGAATACAAATAGGTTCAAGATCCCGGGCAAACGTAATCAAGTCCATTCTCACATAAAAATTTAATTATTTATTAACTTATTATAGATTACAATAACTCCATTTAAAGGATGACGATCATTTTTCCATTTGATATGACAACAGATTGACGGGGGGTAGACTGCATAACTCGCAGAGCCTCATAGCGCTGTGTATTTAAGTGAGTACATAAATTAATGAAATCCATCGTTTCACAAATTTTCTGAATTCCTCATTAAATTATACAAGTTACAACGCTCTCGTTGGAATGATAATATAAGTTGGCACAAATTACGACCTAGCCTCTTTATAACTGTCACGCTCTGTTGCTCGCTAGAGCGACTGACCGAAATATACAGCACTATGAGCGTATAGAAATTATGGTAAGAGCATAACTGTAACGCAACAAACACAATAGTTCTAACTAATCGATAATGGTAATACGCAGGATTTCGAAGATCCTGGCTAGCCCTTAACTCCCCCCTTGGTGTGCCTCTGTAAAAGAATAATCATCGGTCAGCGACCCCTATGACATCGCTCTGCTCTATAACCGAATAAGATCGTCTCTCTCAGAAGAGAATAAGGAAACGGCATTACTCACCGCCAGAGGTTCCTTTTCCTTACGACCCGTGACCTTGCATTTTGGTGCAGCGAACAGCCCGAAATCCTGCACGCAAACGCAGTCCTCCTCGAGCTCAATGTTGACGAGACCACTGGCTATCTTTCTGGATGCGACTTGAAGAAATTGCTTCTTCTGATGTGGCTTAGCCTCGAGGAAGTTGTAAGTGCTGAAGACGGCACCTCCGGACTAATCAAGTCATAAAGTCATATATTTCAAGTCAGCTCTGAATTCATCGAAAATCCTCGAAATACAGCAAACACGAAATTCATGATTTTATAGAAATGTGCTTACCGATACGGCGAATTCCGCACAGACGTCGTTACTCGCAAGATTCAGGTTGTTCCTGATATCGGCATTCCCTTCGACGATCCTCTTCTTGCTGTCAGCGAACGTGTATGCGCTTTCGTCATCGTATCCCACAATATTCCTCTGTGCTTTACCGGAGACCTTGATATCCTCCAGGGATGAAATGTGATAATAGGTAAGACCACGATCACGGTAAATCTTCTGTCCCAGGAGAAGACGCAGTTGCTGCAGCTACAAGCGTATAGAGTGAAATGACTATAGGACTGCTGTGAGGTTCGCAATAGTCCTTCAAACTTATGCATATTGCTTTTAATTTGCCCCTTACGGAAAGCGGAAGCGGACTCTTCTCGCAGGGCGTCGCGATGACGCCGACGACAGCCTTGGCCGCAGTTGGTCTGAAGGGATAATTTATGGCCTCCTCGTAGGCTTCGGTCAGCTTTGTAGTTCCCAATTCCATGTTCAACTGCTGTTTTGCATACAGCAAAGCCTCCTTTACGGAACCAGACTTTGCTTCCTAAAAATGAAAGGCAAGTGTTCGTATGAGCAATCTATACGTCTAAGATACGACGGGACAATTTAATATGATTGTCATAAAAATCATTCGTAAGTCCTTCGTAATGCAATCCTGTACCGCAAGTGTAATATGTGGTTCGGTCTTCTCGAAGTTGATGTTCTTGATCTCCCCGTCGATGTTGCTGCTGCCGCCGTAGGTAAAATGCTGCGGCGGATTATCACTGGTCTCGGAGTATCCGATTACGCCAATGTGTACGTCTCTGTTTTAAGAGGAAAAAAGGAAGAAATATATCATACCTCGTCCTCTTTGAAGACACAATTGGTTGCAGCTTTTTTCTCGAATTGGACACTCACTTGATTCCGTTATGTTTCAGTTCGTTCCTGACTTCACTCAGCAGGGGAGTGATCAATTCCTTGAAGACCTTCTCGTTCTGGGTAACCTGTTCGACTACGAATACAATATCCGCTTCCTTCTTAGGGATCTTGACGCTGAAGGTGTCTCCGATCGCCACTTCATTGCTACCGATCTTGCACGATCCAGCTATAATGATACAAGATGTATTTCCCGTAAGCCGCTGGTGGAAGACACTTTTTAAATTCAATTGCAAATTAAGGTTCCAGAAGCCCTTACCGCAAGTCAATGGCACGCCCGTGAAAATTCCAATTTGGGCGCAACGCAAAGAATAGGCGGTTGCTGTCGTACAAGCAGTCTGCGTATTTCCACTGGACGTGGCTACTTGGTTGCAGGCTTCACGGAATGGTGTTGAGTCGACGAAGTTGAAGCAGCCACTAGGACAAATGATAAATAAAAGATACGCTATAGCGCTCCTGTAATCTCTGTGCAGCGACTTATTAAAAATTCTACGAGTTATGGCGTCTTACTGTTCCGATTATTTGACTGAATGAACGAGCACACGTACCTCAGCGAAGAAGCGCCAACGAAAAATTCCGTGCAAAGAGAATTTGATTTTGTGGATCGTGGTGCAGGTACTGCGTCCGGGCATCCGGAACTCAACTTGTAGGCATTGCCAAATTGAGCCTCGTTTTCTGCAACCTGCCAATAAGATATAACGTTTGTTAGCCCCGAAGAGAAGAAGGAACGTGCGGCAGCGGTTGGTAAGGGTTTATCGAGAAATAACAGACAATTCGCTTACCTTGCCAGATGGCAAAGTCAAGTCATCCCATGGTTCGTTGTTACCGTTTCCAAGTAGGCCACGCAATTTACCAAGATAGAAACCAGAAATGTGAATGCTGCAAAGTTCAGGCACGTGGCGTCCGCAGAGGATCTCAACTCCGAAGCTGGATTTGACGTTAATAATCTGTTGCAGTTGCGTAGCGCGAAGGTTCTTTGTAGTTGCAGGAAATTCAGAAGGACGCCCATTAACCAGGATCTAAGAACACGAATACAGACTCATATAAAAACTCAATGCGGAACGCGGATCTGAAAGTGATGCTTCTTGCCTGAAAATGGTAGAATGGTAGAATGATAGAACAGATAGATAGGATATCCATCTTATCCAGGGATGGATGGCCACTTACCGATCCGTCAGTCTTATACGTTATGCTCTCATTGGGCTCGGTCAGCGTGATACTCTGAATGTTTCCATTCTCGAGATTAGCCACAATCGAAAAGTTTCCGTCAACGACGTCCTGTGCCAGGATGTAACTGCAGCTTCCAGTTAAGGAAACGTGGCGACCATCGAACGTAAAGACTTGACCTCCGTCGGCAATGAATCCAATTTTGGGGAATGGCGGCACGATATCGGCAAGCGATCCGGCCGACCTAAAATCACAATGCGTTTCAGTCAATTTCAAGAGCAGCTTCTACGCGAATCATTTGGGGCAGCTCTGACGTACCTGTATGTGTAAAACACGTCAGCGGGAGTTGGCAGCTCGCGATTGAGCACAAGATTGATAAGAGAAATCTTCGGTGCAACGATTCCAGGAATCTTCTTTAAGATGCTGAAGTCCGGAGTGACGTTGTTTTCGATGAACCTGATAACGTTCTCGGGGGTCAGCTGTGATTTCAGCTTCGCAAGGAAGTCGCGCAAAACGTTTTGCGCTTGGATGTAGATGCTTTGAAATTCCTTGATAGCCTGAGCCGAGGTATCTTCGGGAATTTTATAATTCAGGGCCTGCTGATATTTCTCACGAATGAAATCAGATATTGGTAAAGTTTTGATTTGCTGGATCAATACAAGAATGAATTCCCTGAGATCCTTCTCGATCTGGCCAATGGTAGTGCCGATGACTTTGTTGATGTCCTGAATCAGTTCTACGCCCACAGCGAAAACTTCCTTAAGCTCCTTCTGGTTTTCGGCAATAAATTTCGTGACTGCATTAATATAGATAGAGACTGTTTTCATGAATTCGTTATAGAGGGGAATCAAAACTTTGATGATCTTCTCGTAGGACTCCTGGAGCTGAGGATAAATGGACTCGATGGCATTCTTAAGTTTCAGCGTCACGACGTTCAATTGATTTCGAAGTTCCTCCAGACGCGAGGCCAAATAATTTGCGGCGTCTACGAAAACGGCAATTATACCGCCGAAAGATTTGTTCAATGTGGCTTGAATTTCCTTGACAGTCTGATCGGTTTGCAATTCGTTCCTTAACTTGACGAGTTCATTTTCGTAATGTTGCAATAATGACGTCAGGTTCGGTTGAGCTTTCTTCAGATGCTCCCAGAGATCCTTCAGTTCCGTTACAACTTCTTGAGCGATACTCTTGAGTGCCGCCTGCAGGTGTTTCGCGAGATCGATCGCTTGGTTGCGTAACGATTCCTTAAATATAAATAAAACGTTACGAAACGAACTTTTTTCTCTTATTATTCTCCAATGACGAAGAATGGAAAATACGAGGGTGGGAGGGGGGGGTGGGGCTACTTACCAGAGACTCTGCGTGCACTTGCGGCATTTGCGTAAGCGAGAAACGGCCACTGGCTGTGATCTTACTCTTTGGGACACCTGCAAAGAAGATTTCAATTAAATTGATGTCCAGCCGACGATGCCTACCTAAAATATGTATATCTAATTCTGAGTCTTTAATTGCCTTTGAGGTAGTAAACGAAATTGTAGGTCTGCAAATCGTGAGCTTCGAAGCTGATGACAGCGTGCTTAACACCAGCAATAACGATCTCGCTATCGACTTTCTGTATGTTCGCCGAGATATCCATGACGGTATCCGCCTTGACGAGATCTTCATCCGGTGCCTTGATCAGAAGATGAATCTCCTTGAGGGTTGCAGAGAAGAGCACTCCGACATTCTTCGTTTTCTGATGTTCATCCGTGTACCAGAGCAAAGATCCAAAACCAATCTGATCGCTCGTAATGGCTAGATGCTGCTGCAGATCGACCTTCAGCTGCTGTCCACGACTGGTAACTTCGAGGGCTCCGGTTACATTGTATCCATGAGGAACTTGAACGTTGGTCAAATGAGCAGCCACGTTGATCTTTTGGGCCTTCTTTGCGAAGACATCGGCCTCTAGAGTGGCACTCAGCAGATATTCACCGCCATACTGTACTCGTCCTTTCACGGTGAATTCCTGTCGAGGAAAGACAATCAAGTTTTTAATTTCAATCAAACTTCTCTTATATGTTTCACTTCGTTACACATAGATAATTCCGTTCGTATTACCTTTGGTTGGGATGGATAGGTCACTCTGGCTTCTCCGTTCAGGGCGTAAACGTTGTTCTCAGTACTGACATCACCAAAAATAGAGAGGGTGGATTTTTCTTGCGGGTGTGATTTTCTGTCCGCGTAAAGGGAAACGTCGAGCTTGTAGGGTCCATGTTTCTTGTTCTTTGGCACGTCAAGCGTTGTGATCAGAGCCACCTCGCGTTTCGGCATGGTCAGAATCACAGCTAGACAGAAGATATCGTCGGCTTTATTTTTCGATGATTATCCATTCTCAGGCGGAGCCGCACCAATTTTCTTTTCCAATTTAGTTCGCAGTAAGCCGAGCATGCAATCGGTCCATGAATTCAATGTGTTCTTTTAGACAGATCAGAAACAACGAAGGCTCTGGCAAATCGCACGTGGCTCTGCATAGAATTTTTGTCACAAAGTATGTATGTAGATGGGTTTGCCCTGAAATATATATTCTTTTTCTATTTTATCATTTTAGCATATTTACGAGATTTTATGGAAGGCCACGTGTGATTTTTTAAGGATTGCATTATTTGCACACTGTCAGAACAACTGATTGAACTCGTCGAACGACCATACATATACAATGAGAATATATTACAAATTCTGTCATCTACCTGACTCTTTAGGATGAGCGTAGACCTGGTAGGTGTACTGAGTCTTGTCCTTGGAGGAGTGCAGATAGAGAGTGGCCGTGTGATCCAGGGTGAAGCCTTCAGTCTTCGTACTGGTTTTCAAGCCAAACTCGGCAGGCACATTGAATTTCTTCAGATTAACTTCAACGGTGATCTGGTGATCCAAGTGCGTCAGCTCTAAAAGAGAATTTATCGTTTGAGAGGATGCCACTTTTGTCATCGATAAATCTAAAGTCGAACATAAGTTTCAGTTACCAGGGTCGGCCAGAGTCGATTGAAGTTTGAAGTGGGCACAGTCCTTGCTCTGCTCGCAGTAACTGTTAAAGACGTAAATTCCTTTGTTCGATAGTTTAAGTTCCCCAACAATGGCGAACTGTCCGAAATTCGTATTTAGCAAAATAGCCACGCCAGTTTCTCCGTCGGCTTCCTTGGTCAATTCTTGACGAGTGTACTTGAACGACGAACTCTTGGTGCTTTCACCGAGCTTCACGCTACCGTTACCTTCGACAGTGATCTTGCCATCTTCCTTTCTCAGCTTGTAGTTGGTGCTGCGATGAAAATTCAAATGTTAAGAACACTCTCAACCACGAGTTATTCCAATACTCTTACAATTAGTCAGGTCGCGCCTCCCCCTACCTTCCGCTAAGGATATTCTTTCCATTGCTCGTCACCGTGACGATGATCCTCGTACCAGTTTTGGCAGTTGGTCTGTTGGCAATCTCGGCGTGAATCTTACGCTGCGGAATGACGTCGCTGTCAAAGTTGACCTTGATTAAGAAGTTGTCAACACTCTCTAAACTGATATGGCCGTCGGCCGTGGCGAATCCTTTGGGTGTCTCCAATTTCCACTCGCCTGATTTTATATAAATGACAGATTTTTCATGACAAGTTGTTCATCGGATAATACGCTATAAATAATTAATTGCTGTATTATATGACTCTCACCGGTGAATTCTTTATCCCCAAGCTTGTTGAATTTCGCAAGCGCACTCGTCTTGCCAACCGGGGTACTCCAAGTCAGTTCAAAGCTGGGAGAGGTCTTGCTGATCTGAAGCGAAATAGAGCGAAATGGGACAAATAAAATAATCCTTTCATTCTCGGCCAGAAGTCTTTAGGTCGTATGTCCAAACATCATAATTCTTCGTACCTTGTGCTTGTAGTCAAGACTCAGTGTTCGCAATTTCTCAATCGGAGTGCTAAGTTTGACATCAACGTTGACAGACGATAAATCAGGATTGTAGCTATAATGGCTGCTGATGGTAATTACTTTGTCTTCAAGGCCGGCATTCAAGGTACCTGATCCCGCAACCTGACCGTCCGGACCTTCCTTCTTATTCTGTTACAGGGAACAAAGACATTCCAAATTTGTATTGCATCTACGATAATTATTCCCCGCGAGTGAAGCGACAGTAAGCAGCGAGTAAAGCCAAGCGAGTCTCTTACCTCGGTTTTCAATTCTAAGCTGATGCGACTAAGCTTATCGATTGGCGTAGTAATCGTAGCCGCGACATTGACGTTTGACCAATCGGGAACGTAACTGTAGGTGCTGCCGACGGTGACTTCTTTGCCTTCGAGACTGGCGCTCAACGATCCAGATCCGGAAATCTGACCTCGCGATCCCTCCGTCTTTCTCTGTTAGATTAGAAATACGTTAGACAATCGTAGACTGGCATCGCGAACACTCTTTGCGACGAGTGAAAGCGATACGAGCTGCCCTTACGTCGTTCTTGATTCGCAGATTGATTTGGCGGAACTTGTCGACGGGAGTAGTAATCTTGGTCTCTACGACGAGAGTCGAAAAGTCAGGAACGTAGCTATAATCACTGCCAATGGTCACCTCCTTGCCCTCCAGAGCGGCGCTCAGTAATCCAGATCCCGAAATCAGACCGCTGGATCCGTCTCTCTTTCTCTGTTAGAAAATAAATAGAAAATAAATGTACTTTGGATCACGAGACGCTCATGTGTTTCCTGAACAACAAAGACGTGTCCTCTTACGTCGCTCTTGACTTGTAGGTTGATGCTGCGGAAGTTGTCAAGGGGTGTGGTGATCTTGGTGTTCAGAAGGATCGCTGACCAGTCCCGAACATAACTGTAGTCGCTGGCGACGCTCACTTTCCTATCTTCCACGCTCACGCTCAATGTTCCAGATCCCGAAGTCGAACCTTTCGATCCCTCCGTTTTCACCTGCTACAATGCCAGTACATATGTTTTACGATAAATTACGTCTCTCGCGATTACCGCTCATAGAAGATAATGCATTAGAAACTGATCGTACGTTTCTCTTGTACTGAAGGTTGACGTGCCGCATTTTCTCGACGGGGGTAGTAATTTTGGTTTCCACAATGACATTCGAATAATCAGGTGAGTAGCTGTACTCGCTGCCAACAGTCACTTGGTTATCGTCGACGCTGACAGTCAACAATCCAGATCCAACAATCTGACCAGAAGCTCCTTGTTTCTTCCTCTGTTACAGATAATAAATACATGCGATTATACGTCTCTTATCGTTATAGAATCATTTATCGTAAAAGGGCAGGAAAACCGCGAGAAAGGCTCTTACGTCGCTCTTCACTGCTATGTCGATGTGGCGCAACTTGCTGAGCGGGGTGGTAATTTTCGTCTCCGCAGTGAAATGACCATCTGAAAATGAACCCGACGATCAAGCGGTCTACCTTAGTCGCTGAATGTCTGCGTAAAACGACGTAAAACGACGTAAAACGACGAGGTCTTACCATTTTCACGGTCATTCTGATAGTCAAACTGTCCGGTTGCCGTAATGGAATTCTTTAGATTCAGGTTGAAGTTTCCGCTTGGGCTGACGCCGCGCTGCATCTTCAGATTGAAGTCTAGATATTTGACGTTGGCGAGGCTTATCGCCGCACGACTGTTGAGCTTCTGACGATTGCTGTCCAGAGAATAGTTGATCTCCAATTTCTTCTCGTGGAGCTTGAGCTCCGCGTCCACTTGGAGATTCGTATGGCTCGGTTTGATGTCGTAGACGACAACGGCATCGGCTTCGTATTTGCCTCCTGGGGACAGGGTCAACGAGTTCTCGAACTTGCTCTTATGCTCACCAACGACAGTGTGCTTGGACTTGAGCTCGATGCTGTTTTCCATGACCTTGGCCTCAAAATCAATTTCATAATCGGTCGGTTTAGAGATGCCAATTTTGGCGGAACCCTCGGACTCAAGTTTAAACTTTTCGTATTTGACTTCGACATCGTAGGACAGCGACTTCTTCGTGACCTCGCCCTCCAGTTTAAGTTCCACTCCCAAGGCGGGATACTTCAATTTGTATGAACCAGCCAACTTGAACGCTTCGGGTGTGTTGACGTACTGCGCACGCCGCTGAACAGTGAGACGGTTCACTTGAGAATTGAAATCGCGGCCGTGCACGAAAATCAGATTGCTTTCCAGATTATTCGGGGATCCGTCGAATTCCCACTTGACGAGAGCACCGATGTCGGGATTTTTCGAGGGGAGCACGGACAACTCTAAGCTGTACTGACTGTTCTTCCGCTTCGAGTCGAGCTTGACGGCGACGGAATCTTGAGCGCTCGTGCCCTTAAGATCGGCCGACACGCTTTTCGGGGTAACCAAGAGAGTCCCGTCGAGGCCGTAGAGTTTACGTCCGCTTGCGATCAGGGCGACCTTGTCGAAGTGGAATTTCTTGCCTCCATCGACGTCGGTCACGTCGACGAGCCCATTGACGTTGAACTGCTGCTGCCCAGCACGCTGTCCACTCTTGGTGCCAGTCTTACTGGCCGCGAGCTTCTCGATGTGTTCAGGCAGTTTGTACTCGAGCACAGGCTTGTACTTGGATCCGTGAGCGACCACGCCTACGCGAGCAAAGTACTCTATCTGATCGTTGTGCACGGAGACGGTGATCGTGCGTTCCTGATCGTTGTTCTTGAGGACCGCTTCGGCCGACGCCTTCTTGAGCGGCGAGTCGAACTGGACTTTGACATACTTATTGGGCTGAAGCCCACTTTCCACCAGGAACACGAGCTTCCTGTTGGTCCTGCTGTTCGGAGTCTCCAGGAGAATTTCAAAGGAACGCTCGAACGTGCTCTTCACGTTATTGTACAATTTGAAGTGATAGCTGCTCACGTCGGTGTTCTCGATGGTGACTGCGAACTTTGCTGGACCACTCAGTGGGAAAAGAGCCTTTTTCTGGACTGCCTCGAAGCTATCGTACGGGAAGGCAACTTCACCGCAAACGACGAAGCCGAGCAGACCGGACAGCTGATCAAAACAGTCGGAATGTTTTTTATCCTTGTTGAATTTAGGTGCTGCGTAATTCTCCCCGCTACTTCCGGTACTAAGAAGTACTTCGCTGGAGACGCTGATGATCTCTTGCTTCTTCTTGGGAAGTCCAAAGCTCACGTCCACGCCATTGCCGTTCAAAAGTTTCAAAGAGACGTCGGATCCTGTCGCGGTGTGTAACGTGGACACGACCTTAAGTCCAGATTGGACGTCGAAACCTTGCACCAGGAAGTTGCCGATTATTGTGATGGCCGCGCTGGGTTCCAGAGCTATCTGCACGGCCGCGTTCTTCGGGTCTTTCAAGATGGCCGGCAGGTCTATCTTTCCGTTGGTCTTCAGATGGAGTGCACTGCTGCCAATGACACCAAGCGACAAGGGAAGTCCTAGACCAGTAGGATAAACCAGCTCGGCATCGAGGAACTGAAGATGATTTTCAAGATGATAGTTGAAGTTCTTAGCTCCCTTGATTCCATTTTCGATGCCGTCGAAGATGGTATCGATCAGTGATTGTGGCGTCCACTTTTTGGTAGGTTCCTGTAAACTGAGAAAAGCCACTTCCGCCCCAAAGAGCTTTATGGAGAGATCTATATCTAGATCCTGATCAACTTCGTTGTCCTTCAATTGTATACCCTTGGCAAATTTGTCGAGATCGCTCTGCTTGACCTCACGTCGTGATATTCTGTGAACTCGATTCTCCACGAGCTTCTTCAAGGCCTCGTAAGTTTGGCCGCCCTGCTTGTAGAGATTCTCAAAATCAGCAGTCTCGTACCGACCCTTGGGGCCGAAATACTGCTCGATGATCCTGTCCAGATTTTCTACACGACCTTCCAGCTCAAGGAAGTTGAAGGAGTGGCCAAATATCTCGGTCGTCAAATTCAAGCTGGTGGATCGCGGCACGAAGCTGTTCTGGCTGTAGATGACGTTCGTCTCGGCGGAGGATCCAATGCCCAATGAGTCGATGTTGTACGAGAGCTCGCTGTTGAATGAAAACTTTCGGAAATCCTCGGGAAACTTTGTCCTTGGCTTTATGAGACCGAGTTGCCTCTTAGCCTCCTGCTTGTCGGGATCGGCGGAAGCGCGAAGGTTACGAAGATGAGAGGTAACGAACGAGCCAACCTGATTGACAGTCTCCCTGTCGAGAATCTCCTTGAGTTTGTTTGCCACGTGAGGGCAGGGACAGGAGACGAGGGCCAGATAACTCTTGATCCTGATCTCGCTATCGTCTTCACGATTGGCCAGCGTGTCCAGCAGAATGGACTTCCACTTCATGGAACACGTGGTGGGCAGAGATCCGATGGCGGCGGCACGAACGCGATTCGAAAGGTCCGTATTAGCCGCTACTCGAGCGATCTTCTCCAGGCTAACGTCGTCCAGGTATCTTGTATTGCCCAGAGCCTTCAGAGCAGCTACGAGCACAGTCTCCTGATCACGATTGGCAGCCCTTCCGTCGCCGATCTTCGCGACGATCTTATCCAGAGCTGCCTTCACCTCGGGAACCCTGCTGCAGCTGTGTTCCTGGCAGTACTTTCCAATGACAGAACCAATTCCGAGGTAGCCCTGACGGGGCAGGCCCGGCTGATCCAGAAGTGAGGTTATCGCCACGACCGACGGCAGATTCACATGACGGACGAAGGAGAGACTTATGTAGTAGAGGAGTGTTTGGACGCCGGTGATCTCGTGGCTTCGAATCAGTTCCACCGTTACCTCGGCAGCTTCGCCGGTGCCAGTCCGGTAGAGAGCATCCAGAAGAATCTTTTTATCGTGATGTTTGTCGAATCCGGCACCTGCCTTGACACGATGATAGACAGTCAGGATGTCGTTCTTGTTACTGGTGCGGAGGACCTTCACGAGTTCCGAGAATTTACGGGCCGCCGGGGGCCTCACTTCGTCAGGCATTTCCTCTTTGGCCGCGCGAAGTGCGCTCACGATTGTCTCGACGGAGGATTTGATCACCGGATGCGGCGCCTCGAAGATTATGGACTTTGGCGCGGAGGTAGATGACGACGCGACTCCGGATTTCTGGCCCTTCAGCGTCAGTGTTGTCACGACTACGGTTTTCGCGCCGGACTCGCCTTTGCTAAACGGTTTGAAATTGTATGTTTCCGTGGAAACTGCCTTGTTGAGGATGCCATGCTTGAAGTGCTGTTCGACTTTTTGCTCGGAGTCGAGAATCGGGGAGGATTTGATGTCCGAATTTGGATTGAAAGTGGAGGAGACGAGGTCCTGTTTGATGTTCTCCCTGTAGGCACACTGTCCCAGGTTCCTGTATTTCCGCACCACAAGAGAGCCGCCCTCCTTGTGAAAGTTGAAGTCCGTTGGGCATCCGCCGAAAACATCAAACTGCTCAAGTGGAAGCGACCGATTAATCAGACAACTATAATCGAGCGAAAGGTCATTAATGTCCTAGGACGATTAAAAAATCTGCCTACCTCGTGATGGGTAGTGGCACCGTCATTTTTAAATACTGCGGATTGAAAGAGAGAAACTACTGCCCTCTTGACGTTCAATGATGCCTGAGAGTCATTTGGATCGGCGCAAACCTCGGTGTCGATGTGGCCATTATGATAATTGAATTGGAGACCATATTGATCGAGATCGTGCGAAGCGACCGGCTAAAAGACAGATTTTCCTTTTTTCGTTAAACAATACTCTCGTCTCTCGTGCACAACGAGCTGCCAGTGGCTCCCGAGCTCCCGATTACTTACGGATCCGTTTATCTGAATGTTTTTCAACTTCAGTTGCTGAACGCAATCCGGGTGGATAGACAGTTCAGCGATTCCGGAGAGAGAGAGGGTTGCCTCGCCCTGTGCGTCGCTGACTGACGTAACCGACGTTCCTTCGAGCTGATACGTGTACGTGTGTCCCTCCGCGTAGGCTTTGCTCGCGTGCACTGAGGGCAATTAGGAGGAGACCATCAACAAGCAGGTACAATAAGTAAGGGCTAACTTCAAAGTAAATCTGAATCATCTGAATCATCTGAATCGTCTGAATCGTCTGAATCGTCTGTTCGAATGTGCCAAACACGCAATGGTATAGATAAGTATTTAATTCAGCGAATAGGTGATCAACATTTTACGAAATCTTAATGAGAGACACTTACTTCCATGGCAGCCAGTGGTACATTGTTCTGCAACAGAAAAATTGCAAAAAGTTAATGCGTCATACGTTAAACAAAGCGAAGAGGATTTTCCGTTTGATTTCTAAGCGATACTCTTGACACACGTCGATTCAAATCGATCCCGACTCGATTACTCGAGTTCAAAGTTTGCCGAACATCGCAGATGAAGTTCCAGGATGGCGTATGGAAAAGAAAATTAAAAAATGTGTATCCGTCACGGACAGATGATGTCTTGCGTTTCTTATCCTGCTCGTAGATTAACTCGAGAAGAAAATATATTGATGCACGAACGGGGTGGGCAAACTCTGCGCTCGAGGTTGCGAGCGATAAAGCACTAATCGTCGACTCCCGTGACCCCCGGCTGTAAAGATTCTATTTTTTTCTCAAATCAATACACAGCGAAATCTCTGAATTTCACGAGACATGGATGTATCGAGAAAAAAAAAGAAAAAAAAAAGAAAAAGTACAACAAGGTTCAACGACTGATCTCGCCTTCAATCGGCGAATCGCCGCGTTAGAGGTAAACACGACGATCGAGAAGTCTCAAGAATTGCGAGAAGGAGTGAATCATTAAAATGGCAATTCGCATGTGCGCGGCCACACAATCGATCCTCAGCAAAAGTCGCACGACTCTAATAAAGGTTGACTCGTAACAGCGCATCAACCGATCAAACCAAACACCGACATCTTTTCTTTTTCTTTCCTCTTTTATCCGCGTCGTTGAATGCGTCGCCGGTTGCGCTGCGCCTCTCGCCGCGCAATCGCTCCTTCTTGCTAAGAAAATACGAACGAAGGAAAGACTCCGATACATCGCATATGGAAAACATTCATTATCCAATGACGAATAACTTCTCCCCTCTGATTGGCAACCGTACCGCGATGTCCACATTCGTTTTTTTTATTATTTCGCAGAGAGAGCCTCCCCCCGCCCGCCCCGCGATCCCATTCCGAAATTTCGCAATCGCTGCCAAAAGTCTGTTTGCAATGTACGCGAACCGTCCACCCGTTGATACTGTATCCGGGTAACGTCCACTTTATTGGCCGAAAGAGATTACATCTCTTATCAGTGAAGGAAATTTCAGTGACGTCACGCGGAATCTAGCTAATTAATAAATAGTCAAGGAATTCCAAGCAATTCGTTGAATTGCAAGATTGCCATTATCATTGCCTCGAGTATCTTTTCACTCCTCTCCTACTAGTAAAAATATTGATAAATTACAAAGTGTCGCATTACGATTTACGGCGACTTCCAACCCAATGATATTACAATAATGGACCTTTGATCCGGGAGCCTCATTTTCTTATCAAGAGTTTAAAAGTTGCAAGAGAAAGATTCAAACCTTCTATCGTTGAGCGATGTGTGTAGAATTATTGAAGAAAGTCAACGTATGTATATCACTGTCTCTGCCCTCCTTAATGCCGCGATGACGATACGTTCGATTCGTTTTCGAAATTTCGTCGATACGGAAAGGCCAAGAATTCGTTGAAGCGCGCGACGCGTCTGAGCGAAGTACCATACAACGAGCCAGGAAAGATCGATAATCGCCGAAATTCCAAAGGTTTTCCTGGCCTCTTTGCCTTTTGACGCAGCTAAATAAATTGGAGACGTCGCGGTTGAACTTCGCAGCCAAACAACCTACGACCCGAGAGCAGGAAAACTTTAATCGAGCCTCATGTGAGTCCGACGCGATTGCTCGAATGTCGGTAATAATCTCTTTCGCTCATTCCCACCTACGATAACTTTTCAGTTTCCCACGTCAACGAGTTAGCTCGATGATTATTCGTAATTCGGACACTCGCTAATTGTTCGAGCGCGGGTTCCAGGCCCATCCAGGCCCATCCAGGCCCATCCAGTCCAACGATAGAAGCTGCTTTCAAGTAAGCCAATAATAATTGCAGGAGCTCAAGAAGAATGAGGGAACGCGCTGCGCGGCACGGTGCGCGGCGCAGGTACTCGGCACGTAATGATTGTGTACGTGGAGTGAACTTGTTACGCAATGAATATGTTTATATAATATCAGCAGAATTCAATTGGCAACGATCCATTGTCCATGTTGTCGTCTGTATTCAAAGTCTCGTTAACGGCGACATTAAACATTTCACGGAAAAGGATACGCGTAAGCCTAACGTCAGCCAATCACTGATCGATAGAAATCGCCCATGAGCGATCGACGCAGAAAAGTCGAATTCAAAAAGCCGAAGTGCTACCGGAAGTCGTATCTTAAATTCGAGCGATGTGAACGCTGCTAAAAAATGTCGAATCTCCGTACTTTGTTGTTAAAAACTTGTCGGAATGAAAGGGCAGCAATTTCATTGCTAAGTACGTCGTATCAATTTTACTGGTGTAAGCAGGAGCGTCGAGTCAATTTACCAAATGTCCGGTCCAGAGGCAGGGGAGTAGTAATCGTTTCAATGATACGGACCTCGTTGCGTGGCCAGCGAGCAGGCAGGCAGGCAGGCAGGCAGGCAGGCAGGGACGCTCAATCCGCATATCCTATTCGACAGATTTTCGATGCTATCCCGGCCGGGGGGACTGGGGAGGCGGGAGGCGGGAGGCAATTTCTCACATTTTCCTACATCTATTTACCACAAGTGCTTCCTGGCACTTCGTGACCTTGCGAAATGAATCTCTGGACAAGTATTATCTAAAACCGTTTCGTTGGCACAATTTTGGGCCAACCGAGTCTCTCCTTCTCTTAGCGTATCGTCGTTCCTCCGAGCAACAAAGGAAACGTATTTGGAGCCCGAACAACAAGTGCCAAGGCTCCAATTCCGTCTCCGAAGCCGGCACGCAACGAACAGCGGACGGTGTCCGTGCTGTACGCTGTGTCCAGTGTGCGACTGAAGAAGGAAAAGGCTCGGGGGCGCCGACCGAATGTTACTTACTTGCAATTGCAGTTGTCACTAGAAGAAGAAGAAGAAGAGCGAATAGAGCCGCTGTTCCGAACCGCGGTGGTTGTCCCATGATTCTCGATCGGTTATATCGCACTGTTACGGGTACCAACGGGTCCCTGAACACCACAGCGTGATGCTTTTCTTCGTGCAAGCTTTTATGCTCTTCTCCCCACCAAATTCTTAGGCTGACCGCCCCGCCTGACAACACGCATAGACTTTCGCATATACTTCATTGTCGACTCATCCACGATTTTGCCTGACAGTGTGTTTACACAAAAGATAGACCTTCCTCCGTTCGGCCAGATAAGCGGCTACGTCGTCAAGAATAAGAAGTCTACGAAGAAGAAGAATAAAGCAACAGAGAGAACGATGACAAAAGGAAAAAGTTCCTCTTTCTCCTGATTACTCATTTTCTATTTTTTACGTTCCTGCCCATCGGATATTTCATAATTCGTTATTTATTTTATATTTCAAATATTTCTCCTTTCACCAAGTTCTTTTGATATCGGGGATAAGTTTTAAGATATGTTTTCATAAAATGTCAGTAAAAAGGTAAAAAGGTAAGTTTCATTGTAGCTCTGATTGTGAGACACATGATGGTGTGCATGGGACATGTCCTTTTTTTCGATGTAAAACAAGAAAGAGGAGAAAAACTTGTAGAGCGGACTTATTAGTAGAGACAGAGTTTTCGCAATTACTTCTTCAGCGACAAAATTTATTTATTGCCAGAGGGTCAGTTTCATTTCAAAAAAAAAAGTTAAAAAAAAATAATGAAACAAGAGCGAGAACATTACTTAAAATATTTTTATGTATTTTCACATCGAAATTTTTTTCGTAGCATCTATTAGCTTCGATATTATTTTAATTACCAATCGATCAGTTTTTATCCAATAACTCGGACCGAATGCTTATTATTAGCGAAAGACACGTGGGTAAAAGGGAGCATTCCTATTGGAAAGGGAGTTTATAGAACTTTCACTAAATCGATTGACAATTTAAAATTAGTACTATTTATTTATTTATTTAATTGGTGTAACTGTAATGGAAAAATCGATTAATTCCAACTGATCAATAATATTTGTCAAATGACTGAGAAACTTATAATTAAGGATTAATGAACTCTGAAGATAGAGAGCCCGAAGAGAGAGAGAGAGAGAGAGAGAGAGAGAGAGAGAGAGAGAGAGAGTGCCTGCGTATCGTATGAAAGACTGCGTCAACTTTCCTTTGTTTCTGTGTCTCTCTGATATCGATTGTGCAGGGACGCGGTAGGGACCCCTTGGCAATCTCAAAGAAACTATATTTCTCGTTTACTCCGAATACGTTCTCAGTTACATCGGAAAGAAGAATGAACATTGAAAAGCATCGGGCACACGGAGCACACGAAGTACAGAAGCTCATCCGCGAGGAGTGGCCGGAGTGGCGAAGTCGCCTTCGGTTGAATTCGTCAGCCAGACACTTTGCCTCCGTCGAGCCGAGGCAAGTCAAGCGGGAAGCCGCGAGGAAGTTTTAAAACTGAGAATAAAAGTGTAGTATGGCCAAGAGATCGAGCGCGACGCATAATTCACGTCTCATTGGGAGTTTATCCTTTACAGCGAGTCAGTCCAATTTGCGATATCATTGACGCTCGCGGAATTGGGGTCTCCCGGGGAGGTTGTTTTGCTCGCGCAACATGCAACGGGAGTTTAACTCTGAAATTACTCTCCCCCTTATTATACTTTATTCTGATGGACTTCATTATCGTTCTCATAGCCCTCTCCTTTTCGTTCCCTCCTCCTGCCTAACCTAACCTCCCTCCCATCGTGGCGCGATACCGAAATGCTCTCGACCCACACACGCACTTTCTTCGCACGGAAAAGCGGAGCCGACTGAGGAAGCTCAAGAATCGCGAGAATTGCTGCTCGTGTCGCACATCATCACGGGTAGCTGGGGTCTTCCGCCAATTGGCATTAGATACAACTTTTGCTTATCGAACGACACGTGCGATACACAAAGATCTTATGTAACATTTTTTTGGCGGATGTTTGTCTAATTTGCGTGTTATCGGCCAATCGCCACTCTGAAATCGAATGAGTCAACGTTCTATCATATGTTTGTTAGGGGCACATGAGAATGATGATCGTTGGACATGTACCGTTCTCTGGCGCGTTCCCTCGTGTGGGCCTTCCCAGAGACAACTGAGGAAATTCTATTAAAACGCGACAACGAGCGCAGTGGATCTCCGGAATAACAAAATGTGTTACATTGTGGCATTGATGTGGCATACAAGTGCTCTCGCACTCACGTATGTATTGCGAATACAGCAGGACTATGGCGTCATCCAAGATCAAAGTATTCTAATTTTCGAAGGAAACCCTTGATATATGCACAAGTTCTTGTTATCAGTAAAAAAAGTGCGTCGAGGCTACATTGATTCTGTATCGGTATCGCAGAATAAGAAAAAGTCTAAAATCACCGACAATGCAGCTTATCTACTTTAGGAATGCTTGGTATTTTGATAAATAATCCACTCGTCTCTTACGGTAACAGTCCTATTTCAATATCGAGTCTCTTTCTTCTTTGCCCAATAGGAAAACAAGACATTGAGATAAGCAACGTGTCCCGTCCGTGTAGTACGGGGGCCATTCAATTGGGCTCGAAGGGACGTTCTCAACAGTACCGAACCACCATTTTTCCATGCTCGATAGTCGCTCGTTACCAGCCCCATTATGCCAAGATAAGAAATGGTAGGGAACGACGAATCCGATTCTTTTTGAAATCTTCCATTATTTGCTTCGTGTTCAGCGAAGAGACATTCCACGAGTCTCCGTGGACGCGAGCCTGAACGGCGTAAGTTCCTTTTCCGGAGAGGAGGGAGACTCGGAAAGCGAGCATCAGCGAATTTGGGTTTTCAGTAATTTCAGAACGAAAGTTTCATCTCCCGACGGGGTTAACGAAGCACGGCTGCCGATTGGCACGGCACATTACGATGGACTTGATGGACTTGATGGACTTGATGAGGTGCGGCCAAACACGCACGTGGACTCACGTTGGTGCGCGCGAGGCGAGGCACCAGCCCCCGAGGCCCGAAGAGCACACGTTTGGACTATCAACCCGATTGTTTGTCATGACCTCATGACAAAGGTCATTGGTTATCGCGGCTAAGCTAACAACTCGGCGCATCGAGCTCAGCTGCTCGAGGGATCGATCGGAAAGCATTTCCCGATAAGTCAGATATCTTGGAAACGTCCGTAAGTGTACCGTTGTCAATGATGTTTTTACGACATCTGGATCATACGGGAAGACTTACTTGCTTCGTTTCATATAACGTAATAAAAGTTTCAAAGTTCTTCGAAACAAATCGAATGAAAAACCCCACAGCAGATAAGTTCATTATCTATCCCTCAAATGTCAAGTCTACTCTACGATGGCCAAAGATCTTGTCACTCTTTGGCAAATACGTGTATTGTCGAACGGCTAGTGTGTACCCAAAAATTGGAAAAAAAAAAAAATGTGTAACTAGATCCCACGGCATCTAACAGATTTTTCATTTTTAGCATTTTGACAATTTCCATACTGCCGTAGCTTGAAGAAAATGTAAACTGCAAAAATTCCTTTGATCTTATAAGTACGTGTACTATTCAAAGTGTATAGTTTCAGGTGAAAAAAAAACTATATAGATACTGTTGTAAATATAATAAAAATGTATCTAATTGAAAATCGAAAACCGTCAAGTCAAAATTATAAATATATTCGATTGCTACGAGAGCGGAGGAATTGCAAAAAAAAAAGAATATATCAGAGCAAACAAATTATCAACGTGAAACATTGATCTTGCAGAGTTTGCAGATCTGAATTCATAAAAATCTGCGGTTATCGACACGACGGTTCTTGCTTGAAAACTATTACACATAGTAACCAAGTGAAATGATTCAGCTCGAATTTGTTTTCGACGCAGAAAGGTTGCCCTGGTAAGGATGAGAAGCACGCGCGGATTGCACTTCGCGCAGCAGGGAGAGCGATGACGATTCTTAGATTATTAGAACTCTCGATTTTTCCTTTCTGCGTCGGCTAACTCATGTCCGATATATTAAAAAAGCAGGCTCATTCTTTGATTTCTTCATGCACGCGTCGTACACGGGACGCCCCTTGACCCTTGACGACAGATCGATCCTCTGGCGCATCCACAAATGCGCTACGAGTGTAAAAAGGCTCGGGAAGCTAGATGCTCCAGGGGAATAACTTTGTTGGCAGGCAGCAGAAGCGAGCACGAGATTATCAGTATGAAGAAAGAAGCGGGGTACACATTTCTGAAGGACACGCCTAAAAGTGTCGCAGGGCATGATTGATGGGACGGGTGGCTTCGATCGTAGGAAAACAAACGGTAACGCGATATCGCAAACGCAATTTCTTTAATGTCTCATTCTCCCATTTTAACATAGGTACTATCTTGAGGATTTGTTGTTCGTTAAGCGCACGAGGCTCATGGCACGTGTCGTCGCAGAACGACACCGGAGAAACATAAGTAGCCCTCACTCGGAGAGCATCTTGTTCACTCGCTCAGAGTCGTCCACGTTCACTCTTGGATGATCTTGTAGCCTCTCTGGTTACAAGTCTCGCTTGTCTCTATGGAGCTACGAAACGAATGGATTCGGTTCTTCTTGATGGCTAAGTGCAGCTGTCGATATCAGGCTCTAGCATGTTTTTGCCATTTAGTTCCAGCCGCACCCGCGCACTGAATGACATCTGGGATATGAAAAATCTTCAGAGTCCTCGCGCAATCTCCATTTAATTGGCAATTGTATTTCTTTTTTTTTTCTCTTATTATGACAATTTACAAATATTCGACTAAATTTACCTTCTAAAGTAGTAAAGGGATCTTTCGCACTAACATTACGGGCGATAGTCTGACAGTGTGACGCTGCCATGCACGGTTGATCTACGGAAGAGAATCAACATTAGGAATCGCATGATAGTCTCGAGGTCAAAGGATCCCGTGGATCGGATTAATCACGATTGATTTGCAAAACTTGGGATTTTCTCTTGAAAATTATACCTACTTATAGAATGTAGAAGTTAGAGAGCAGAGCGGAGCAAAGCACAAGAGTGAACCCGGCTGCAAATAGCTGCGCATCGATAACTTGTAAATAAACTGCTGCATTCGTTTCTTCTCTGCAGTTTATACACACATATGTACAATTAAATTTATAACAATTCGCAAAATATCCTCACTCTGCAATCTATTTATGGTGTACGTGTATTTCTAAATGTAATGAATCGCCAATTTTAACGCAATAAATTATAAATATGAACAGGAGTTCCCCTCGAATGTCAATCGACTGCCGTAATATTATATTGTAAGTGTGAATGCTCGTAGCATTATACCTATATAGTAGCGAAGTAAAAATCTGTGGCCCAGTGATTTATATACTCTTCAAGTAGTAATAGTTATTGATAGTTCTATCGGTACCAATCGCAGTCGTTCGATCCGCCGCGCATCGTTCGCTTTCTCCCTCTTCATTTTCCATTGCCGTAATTCTCATCGCAGTAATCACAAACATCTTCCTTTTCTTTGAGGGTGCCTCATCAAGCCAAATGTGCCAGATCAAAAATATCTAATGAGCTTTGCTTATCGATCGCGCCGTTGCACCGACGCGTTTAAGATATCGCCTATTTATGCATACTTGCATACTTGCATACTTGCATACTTGCATACTTATGGTGGGTGATTCAGTTTCGGACCGGAGTGTCTCGAGACAAAGCATCTCGAACGACGGGCGGAGCTGGGAAGTTAAAATAAGGAGAGGAGAACGACTGACATTCGATCAGCCAATAAGTGTATAAACTATCAGTCGAACAAAAGTGATGGGAACAAATTAACGAAGAAGAAAATCCCAGGATAAAGTCAGAACGATTAAAACATCTAAAGAATTAATAATAACAATGAAATCAGTCACTCTTCCCAGTGATCGAATACCGCAACTTCTCTCCCATTTGCTTTTTTGGCTTCTATAATTCTCCCTAAAAGAAATTCAAGGAGAATCAGGCCAAGTTCGGGTGGCTCGACCAGTTTGAAGACTATCAGCGAAACGGGAAGACCGAATATAACAAGGTTCGATTTTACCTGGATTTCGAAAATGTCAGCCACCTCGACTCGCAAATCTCCGAAAGTGCACGAAGAACTTACTAGAACTTACTACAAGGAAAGCTCAGCTGACTAATTTCTAATACTAGCATAATACTGATTGCGCGTTTCGAGCGCGACCCACGGACGAAATGGATGATCGACGCGGTTCGCGGAGGATGATCTGGAGTCTTCCAATCCAAAGGAAAATGACGCAAATGTACAATCGATGACGAGCGACAGATCGCACTTCAGGCGTCGGAATGCATCTACTGTAGTATGGTACATCTAGATATACCGATAAACATTGTCACGGGAAAGCAGAACTCTGACGACCAAAAAACGTTAGCGCAGCGCAGCATAAGGTCGGTCCACCCGGACGAGGGAAGTGCCGAGTATTCCGGAGAAATGGTGGATTTTACGCAGATCGGCACAAAGGCTGACCATTCGCTGGATTTAATGGGAAATTCGGAAAGTCGCCATTGGCGCATCCCTGTGCCTGTCTTAGTTTTAATGAAGAAATCTAGTACTCGCAAACTCATTGAAGAAACGGCTAGACGCAGCGTGCAGAATGTGCGCGTCGACATCTCAAATTGTACGAGCGTCCCTTGGAACTCCCTAAACTGCAATGAGATATGTACATATCGCGAAATCTAATACATATTGCTCGTAGTTTAAGCAACTAAAATATCGGAAATTATTTGTTAACTTAATTGTCTTCGATTCAACTACACTCTCGATGGAAAAATATCTTTGTGGTTCCTGACCTACGATCATAATCGTCGAAAGAAACCACGCTTATCTCATGAAGAAGTTTCACTTTTAAATTCTGACGAATCTAAACCTAAACCTAAACATCAAAATAATTTGTTTTTCCTTCGCGTCAATTCAGTTTTAGTTATAGTTATAGTTTTAGTATTAACGATTATCGTTATCGTTATTGACCGCATATTTCGTGGAGACCAACTATAATACCTTAAGTATGACATTACGACCCTAAATAGTTTACTAATTCTTTCGTTCTCCGATGCAAATGCGCCAATTCGATGTGTTCACGATGCTCCCTTCCTTCATTATAATAATAGGGATCGACTTGGCTGACAGGAGTAAAAGAATTCGGCCGCACATATCGGGGATATTTATGAAATCGCAATTCTAGAAGTTAAACAGGCGTGAGGTGAGGAATTGAAAGGCGAAACGATTGCGAAACGAGTAGGAGATGTCACGATTGGCCAAAGAAATGAAATTCATATTTCGTGATACACTGTCGAGTACGACAACCTGCATGATTATTTAAAAATATAGTTTGAGGCTATAGGGAACACTTTATCATCGAGGCATTGAATGGCATAATTTTTCTTAATCGCTAATTACCTAATCATTTCACACTGACGTATAATAAGAACAAAGTAAGCTCGAGCACGACACACTTTACACAGGGAAAGGAGTTACGCGTACATTGTTATGCCTGAGTATAGCGAATAAATTTGGACAATGGTGAAAAAAATCCATCGGCATATTGAATAATGAATAATAACGATTCGAAAAACGTTAGGACAACAGCACCGCTGCCGCTTTCCATTTTTCCATTGGCTTCGAAGAAAAATTCGACGATAGTATGGCGAGGAAAGTGCATGAGAACTCTCAATAGTTTTAAGAAAGTACACCTTTTGCCTGATTTTTTAGCGCAAAAGCGAACGGACAAACGCGTTAACTAAAGGTACGCCTGCAAATGTCATTTTCTTTTCAAGATGAAAATTCTTTCCAAATTGAAATACTGTAACATTATTATCGAATAAATGAAAAAGAACGGATAAAATTTTGTTCTTTAAGAGCATAATATTTTACAGTACAACGCATTTACCTATGTCTTGTAAAAACGTTTCTTGCAAATCTACTGTCACAAACTTACCTGTAATTTCAAAAATGATCTCGTCAAGTATGCGCATAACTGTGATCGTAAGTATTAATTTAAAAAAAAATAAATAAATAAAAAAAAGAGTCAGCAACGAAAGTCGGTGCTACAGTCATTTCAATAAAAGTGTAACGATTGTAAATGACAGATGATGATTGCACTTTGATTAAAACTTCTTTGTCAGCGTACGAAGAAATAATTTCGTGGCGCTTAGACATGCGCAAAAATCAGACTTCTCGATTATCTTTTGGACATTTTAAAGCCCAGCGTTGAGCTCAATTAAGTTGCTTGCTCCCAGATGCTCAGTCAAATGCCATTATTGCTTGTCAGGGGTTGACAGTTAAGTTATATAGTGGCGAGCCAATTGTTACTCGAGCAGTGGGAGTTAGAAATTATGATGGGCGCGATGCTCTCGATGACAATGTGAACACTGACGAATTTCTCGAACGAAGAGTACTGAATGTCGACTGATCGATTCGCATGTCGCTGTTTATCGTAAAGCCAGAAGAAGGAGGTCACAAAAATTGATGATCGACGACTCTGCAGGTCCAGTTTTTTCTCCATATCCGCTATTCAACACTCTTCGTACTTAAGTATGGATGTATTACAGCGTGTTACTCGATGAGCTGGACGCAGCGACTGTAACAGATGCTGCCGAGGCTGATGCAACACGGAAACTCGACTGTTAGGCGTTCCCCAAGCAGAAAACGAGCAAGTCCCAGATAGGTCCGATAATTGACCTCAATTAGTGTTAGGCTGTCGAAGCGTCAGAAGTCTGGAAACCTGTAAGGTAAAATTGTTGGATAATCATTGCCGAATATTAAGCGTTAATATTGGCTTAACAGATTAACTAGGACGGCCCATTCTTGGATTATTAAATGATAAAAGCTAGCAAGGGGATAGCAGCGACATGGCGAACCCTTCATAAGCGATTCATCATTTGGATTACGGTTAGTATGATGAATTACGGAATGCATTGATGATGCTAGTAAGCATTTATGTTTCTGGCGCATAAACTATTTTAGAAATTTCGTAAAATATGAAAAAGTGTAACCTCGTCATGGGAAGGGTAGTAATATCTTTCAGGCAGTACATTTATTCCAGATAATATATACGATAACATTTTTTCTTCGTTTTATTATTAGCTATAAGAGAATCATTTCTTCTGATTTTATCTAGATCAGATTCGATAAATGGTTTATCTCTCATTTAATATTAATTTAACGGAATTTTTTTTCGAATCTATCAATAAAATACGACACAAGGAGTGACTTTTATCTTCAAAGAGACGATGCAGTATGTAGGACCGGCATCATCGTCAAATATGCGCCATAATCTCTGAAATTCATCATTCCATGATTGAATATTACGTCTTCCAATTGACTAAGTAACTGTAAATATCACTGCTAGATCTGAGAGTCTCGTTTTATTTTTAATCTTAGATATCATCATTGAATTCACAATTGAATTATACAAAACGTAAATCATTCGCTTTGCGCGCGTCCGACAAAGTATAGCGCGGTTCATCGTACATTTATTTGGGCAACAAGACAAGGAAATTCGTCACCCAATCGAACGAAGCAACGATAACAAACTGGATGTACCGCGATTAAAATGTTCTGACTCACCTCATGGGATCTTCAAAGTAGTCTGACGGTACTTGAAACAATTCTGGATCGATATCGTTTCTAAAGGCGAACTCTTGAAATGTTATTTTCGCTGTGACCGTGGGTAGAATGGGTATGTCAATCTTGACAGGGAACCCGGGTGGCAGTTTCATCAAGACGAATTGTCGCAATTTGCTAAAGTGCTTGAATGGTGCGATGACTTCCAAGACGTTAAGCAACATGCCAACTGTCAATGGAAAGTCCGGGCTCATAGCCACTGTCGCCTTGAATGACTTGCTGCTCTCTTTGTATACATGGCATCTGCCCAGCAGAGGGCATTCACCGGGTGATGCGGCAAGGTACTCCTCCCAAGTGATGCTAGACTCCGGTGGTGGGTTTAACGAAGCTCTTCTCAATGGAGGCTGCTGACAGAGATGCATATATACATGCTTCAGAAGTTAAAGATTCAAATTATTCGACTGTTACATATATTATAGGTACCTCCCCGTTTGTGAAACCTTGAGAACTCCCTTTTGTCAAGGACTCCATAATGGCTTTATTTTTTTGAAGGTCCTCCTCACTCAGGTGCTCTCGTCTTTTTCTACTCTCCAACACCATGCCATTTATCTGATAGAAATCGGCTTGAAAAGGACCAACCATTTCCTAAAGCACACCAAATTCCCGTATGTGATGTATATAACGAGTACATCGCTGAATCTCGGTATCAAGACAAAAGGACTCACTCTTTTATCTTCTCTGAAAATCCATCCAGTCTGCGCTCTTGAGAATGTGATACCTTTCGTTGACATTTGAACTGCCATGATGTCACTGGACATGCGAATATCGATTTCATCCTCTATCTCAAGTTCAGTCTCCTGTACACACACATGCGTAAGGCAAATAACAGAAATAATAATTTTGCAGTCTTCCTGCAATCCCAGATCTCGCGGGCTCTCCATCATATATCCACGAACTCATATTAGTAACATAATGGTGTTTGAAGAAATTAACAACCTCATATTTAACTCTCTGATAGAGTTTGGCCTTATTGTCGAGGACAGTGAGTGATTTGCTCGGCTTTTGATCTCCATTAAAGATGAAAGATATGTCACCCCTTTCCCATCTCATATCATTGAAATCTACAAGTGTGGTATCCATTCTTATCGACGCTCCACTTTTATGTATTCTACAGATGTCTGATGGCAGTATTCTAGATACCAAGGGTACTGAAAGGAGAATGATAATTTTAGGTCAAATCAATATCAAATCGATAGCAGCATTCAGAGTATTTCCTATGCCTGCAAATACGCTCATTAATAACACAAACCCCAACTCTGAAAATCCCATTTAAGTTCCATGTAAAAGTCTCCCATCTGCCGCAATGCAGTAACCAAATTTGGTCTCCTTTCCTCCATCTGCTCCCTTGCTTGTTGCTTTAATTTTCTTACTAAAGATGATACTGCAATAAATCACGTTCAGGTTCCCCCTCTTGCTGTTTCTTATAATACGTTTTATTATGAAAGCATGTCTAAGCACGACTACTTACTGGTTTGTCTATCGCCATAACTGATAGCTTCTGCCAAAGGGCTCCATCCAGCCAGATTCTTAATCTTTACGGATGCCCCATGTGCAAGCAACAACTGGACAAACTCTGTTTACATAAAACATATTGTGATCGGAAAGTTAAATCAATTTAATTACATATCCATTAGAACTGCTTACCTTTTCTTCCTAACATAACAGCCAAATGCAAGGGCGTATTTCCTATAAAACAGATGGTAAATTGTTAATGATTATTTAAAATATCTTTCAAGACTCTGATTACAATAAATGAGTAATAGCACTACTGCTCGAAGGAAACAGCGTTGTACAATAAATTCTTCTAACCTTGGTTATCTTTTTCTGAAACATCATGTGTCCTGATTAGTAAGCTTAACCCTTTGATATCTCCTTCGAATATACATCTGTGAAGAGGATACTGATCTTTGGCAGATGCATCAGCCATGATCGGTCTTGTTGCAGATTATGGCAGTGGTGGCTAGGTTGATGACAAGGATGTCTACGTAGCTGAGCTTGATAATTGTAGAGCAACTTCAAAGAGAAACATTCTTGTCTGTGCCTCTCCGCTGCAATTGTTGTTAAACGATGGTTGCATTTTCATTTACTTTTCTGGCCAGGAATAACTTGATGCGTGACATATTTGCACTAAACTTGGCTTTTGACTCTTTATTAACCGTCCGTTATCATTAGCTTTTGGATTATGAGCTCCAGGCATAAGACATGTAAGAAACTTCAAATCACAATTGGAAACCAGCAGAAGTACAGTACCGTGGGAGCTGTTAATTTAGCGTCGTGAACATGATTGAATTGTGAATTTTATCAGCTGACGAGAGATCGTGATTATTTTTTTGGCAAACTCGTGAAGTATTTGTTTTTACACAAGTGCACACTGAGCTACTAAGCGTCCTAAAAACATCGTGTCTTGCTCGAATATCGCTTGCTTTCATAAGAAATTATAGAATTATAGTGAAATATGGTGTAATACTCTTCAAAAAATAAATGACACTTTACGTACGTGCATTGTCACGTCAGTATACTTATCAGAGGAATCACATGGAGTGGACGTTTTGTCACAACTATATATTGATAGCTGTCAAAGTAGTGTAGGAAGCAAGTAGTGCAAGAAAACAATTTCTATCTGACGTATTATAGCTTGCAAATATTATTTTCGTAATTGAAACAACTTTTAATCGACATGATATAAATATTGACCTATATGTCTAATGTAGAATATAAATCCTTTTTACGCGTCTCTAGTTAGATGTCCTAATAGAACAGCGTGTCACCATTTTGTCTGTGCAAAGGATACTTGGATACTGGTAACCATTGCAGGACGGATAGTAGATTTTGATTTTAGAAACTTATTGTTCGTGCTGAAGTCATTTACACACTCAATTTTTACTTAAATACAACCTGTTGTCAATGACCATAGAGGTACATACAGAAGTAAGTATGCTTCATGATTCATCATATTCAATTAATATGAGTAACATTATACTTTATGCTAGTAATATATTCGTGCACGCATTGATTCCAATATAATACAATTAGTAGAACTGATAGTATGTTTGTACATACAAGAAATGTCTTCCTTTGAATGGACTAAAACTATAATCCGTTAATTATATCGATTCAAGAAAATACTCTTTAATGGTCATACAAACTGCAATATCATCAGTAGCACCGTTTTAACTAGGCATTCATGTGTATTAAGTGCCGCCGAACGAGTCTAACACGTGAGACTATGGGTGCGTTCCCATATTCACTCAAAGCGCTGCGAGCATGCTTGTGTTTCACTCTTTGCATGCGGGTAAACAGGGACGCAACTTCTTCTTCTTGTTCCTTATGGCTTTATGCCCTCATAGAGGGCCAAGTGCCAGGGACACAACAATACTGGTAGTATTGGCAGTGAATTTTGGAACGTACCAACAAAAATAAGTAGAAAGCGGGCACACAGAAGCGGCCAATGAGCCAACAGCATTGGGTTGTACATAAGTACATACGTCTAAATCTGTTCCAAATCATTTCGTCCATTGGTGCCGCTGATTGCTGTATTTTCACATAGGGTATTATATATGGTATTCTGATCCTGCAATGCATCATGGAAAAGGTGTGAAGCGGTAGCGCCGCCACCAATGTCTCTATCGTACTATCAGGGTCTTTAGTATATTCGTGCTTAGTATATTCGTGAGTATGTCCCATCTCAAGAGACCTGACAAATTCCCTCGTCCGAAAACCAATTCCCCCCTATCCCTTCCTCGTTTCCCACCAAACTGTAGTGATATCATCTGGTTTGTATATATTTTCACAGTTTCTACATGTATCAGAAAAGTCGTCAATCACCCAGAAATCTAGGACTAGGTTATGCAAAACAATCACGTCTACCGAAGGACTAACTTTTCTAAATGGTATGTAGTACTTAAGGTAATTAACATCTAGTGAGAAAATGAATGCTTGTGTCGGCGCAAAGTTACATCCGTGGTTATTTAAAAGATATTTTTCTGGAGCCAATGAGTAGCGAGACTTTGTATTGACGTAAATTGATACAAGTTGGGTAATTTGAAACCATCCAATATCATTAATTAGGTTATATGCTATAAAGTCTGCTTCTTATTTTTTGATAATAATTGTTTACGATGATGCTTGAAAGTTGGGAGTGAAGAATGGACAGCCTTTTAAAAAGTATGCTTTTATTAACAAATCGAAACACGATAATAAATATATGTTGCATGAAAATAAATAGTCGTACGATCGGGAGCAAGTGGTTCTCACGAATCACAACAAACTGTTCGTTCTTAGAATGTTAACGTCAAGGTACTCCTAGTGAAACATTTGGCTCGATTTCCTTGCATGCCGCAGCAATATGCTTTCGTTCCCCTGAGGACATTGATAAGCTGAAACGTTCAAGTCTTCCAGCATTTGAATATTTAAATATTGTAGCCCTCTTCTGAAAGAAGTCGAGCAAACGAGTGTGAACGTGCCTTTGATGGCGTATTTCAATTTACTTGGGAAGAGCCAGAAGGTTATTATCTGGGTTCACTGCTTTTTCGCCATCATGCTCTAGGGTACGCCCTCTTGCAAGGAAGTATCCTTGCCGACGATGTCTCTTGGTGCAGATTTCACCATTCAAAACTTCGTCTTCGTGTTTCAAGTAGTCGCTATAGCCGTCTTTCTTGTCGTTGTCATCGTTTATTGCATCCACATTATTTAATTCGTCGCAGTCGTGGTCATAGTTTCAATTGTGCTGTGATCGAATGATCAGTGGTGACAGTCGCGTTGACAGTCGCGCGTGATGTCAAAGTCTAGTAGTTCATTCCAGCGGAAGAGGAGGACGAACCAGAACTGGCCGACGAAGAAGACGACGAGGAGGAGGACGAGGGCGAACCGTAGGATCCAAGATTCGAACCGGCATAATAGCTGTACGCGAGACTCTGACCGTCGATGCCGTTCGTCGGCGTCCAGACGCGAGAGTAGGGGCCGTTGCCATCCCAAGTGTTGGCTGGGTCGTAACTCGACGTGGTCGAGGGTACGGGAGGAGCACCGTAGGCCGGCGCCGCAGGTTCCATGGACATGCCTAAAATTGATATGTCTCGTTACTCACTGTGGCGATAAAGAAGGTTAATCCGGTTGGCTCAAGTCCGCAAAGTACATACCCATGGGAGGCATCATGCCACCTTTCTTGAAGAATTGAACGGCGATGAATCCCACTACGAGAAGAATCGCGAGCTTCGAGAGGACGAGGGCCTTGAGAGCTTTGAGGCCTATTATGGCAACAAAGATTGGCATCAGGGCTTTTAGCTTGAGCTTCAGGAGCAAAAGGAAGGGCAACAGGAGTTTCTTCTTGAGGATCCCACGGGCCTGACCGGTCGCAACATCGTTGTTCTTGAACTCGATGTCAAGATCAGCGAGACTCCTGCTGGGCCTGTAGTTCAGGCTCGCGTCAACGAAAGGCAGGTCGACGCTGTAATCGAAGCTCTTGAGATACTTGGCACTTCTCGCAACAACGGCTTCGTCGACGCTCTCGAGGGCGCGGGCTTCCGTGCTAGTGCCGAGCTTCCCGTCCAGATAACCGAGAACCTCGTGCTTCAGGCAGGACGACCAGGAATCCGCAGCGATGCAGCGATTCAATGCACTTGTCAGAAAATCCTGATGGCCGGAAGCGGTCGAAGAACCGATGATGGCGGCGCCGACGCCAACGAGCGCCACCATATTAAAGAAACTTGTCGAGCGCATTTTTCGTGTCTCTTACGTTCCGCCTATCCCTCGTGTCCTCGGTACACTGAGACTCTCCTCGTGATTTTCTCTTCTTACACCAGAACACACTCGGGAAGTCAACTCGAATCACTCAGAAGTATTGATCGATCGATTGCCCGATGAAACGCAATCGGCGATCGAACTGCGACTGACGGAGGAGTGGCCCGCCCCTTTTATTTAATTTCCCCTGCGAATCTATGTTATTCGGTCGCGCATGCCGAGAATCGTCGATCGAATGAAAATTATTTAAATTTCATTCGCATATAGTAGCGTCCGTTTGTCCGTCTCATGGCGTAGCGTCCGTACACCATGGCATGCGCACCCGTGTCTATGGGAAACGGAACTTGACCATCTTTGTATGTTACCCGCTGACACGCGTCGTCCCTCCCGCGCCACCTTTTCTTTCACGCCTTCTTCATCCATCTATCTTTCTCAATTGTAAATCTCTGATTACCGCGATTAATTCATTATTTATTTGGATTTCCTCGATCATGGGTTTTCACGTGAATTATGTTACATTTCACGATCGAAGCTGCGGCCATTATCGTACGCTGGCCAACGGCCTATCCCATTTTCCTGTATGCTCTTACTTTTTTTGAATTAATAATGCTTGATTTTTCGCTGAACCTATAGTACAGCCTTGGAGAGTTTTGAGTGGAAATAATGAAGAGTGTCCGTCGAAGACTCTACTTTAGTCCCAGGACTCGGCCTCAGATAGCGTTTAGAAACATTGATCATTGGAAAATTAATAACGTTGCGTAGATGCCTGAGAATAAATGCGATGCTTTCAGTGCAGCTAGGAGCAGGTACATATCTGGTGGAGGTACGTTGGGCTACGTCAAAGAGTCCAGAGTGTAAAGAGAACTTTTCAATGTGCATTATTGTTTTCATTTAGAGATATTTTTTCCACCTGTTCGAGAGCTTGATGTGTCAAGATTTTTTCTTCGTCTCATCAGTTTCATGGTTCAGTTCGAGGTCAAGGCAATCTTGGAATAAGTATATCACGAAATTGCTTTATTCTTTTTCATTTTCGGGATAACAGAATAAATCTCACTCGAATACAAAAGTACAGATATGCTCGACACCATCGAATTGACTGTTCGCGTCAACTTGTGCAGTTCAAAGTGGGTAGACATTTTTCAATATGGCAAAGAATTGATAGATTGTTTTTCTTATTTTTGTTTATTCAATTTTTGAAGTCGACCTTGTAAGATCATTGGCCATTAATCAATTTTTATTTTTGCCCGTAGGCTTTTGTGTTTCATAAAAAGCCATGCTTTTCGCGTGTCTCTCACACCGGAATTCACATGCCTGCTTTAGTCGACTTCTGGCTGCTTAGTTGCTTTATTTGACTCGAATACTTAGAGCATCCTCGATATTTAGATCTTAGGCATTCTAACTTAAATCTTTGAGGTTTGTTTAAATTTCACATATGCATCAATAACAAATGTTAAAAAGCTAACGAACCTTCGATTAAGTTTTCTCTTAATTTTATGTCTGGTTCAATGTCTCAACGCAATCGATGCAATTGCACCTCAATAGGGCTGCACCTCAGTCTCGGTGACAATTCTGATGAAATCCAAGACGTTGTTGACTCCGATAATTCGGAAAATGAAGACGGTAGGTATAAGTACAGTAGCATCAAGGTGTATAGCACAAGCAGTTCACACACACACACACACACACAGAGAGAGAGAGAGAGAGAGAGAGAGAGAGAGAGAGAGAGAGAAAAGGCACAATGTACATTGCACGAATAATTTATTAAATAGGAGGTATAAATAGGGAAGGAAGGTACTGTACAAAAGTGAGGGACGTGGTGCGCGATCGTGATTGCTCGGGTGAGCTCAGTGAGTTGGCTCCTTTGGTTCGAGGGCTCGGCTTCTTCGGGGCTGTTCAGGGTTGAGCGTAGGCTGCATACGCGAGGTCCTGTGCTTCCTGACTCTGCGGAACGGTGTCGAAGGACCTGTACTGTGCTGCTTGGTACTCCCAAGGTCCGTGGGCCGAGATGGGAGCAGCGTGACTGTCTGCGGCGATCTTCTTGCAAAGTTGGAAGATGGCCAGACCGACGGAGACGACGAAACTGAAGAAGGAGAGCTGAAGAGCGTTCCAGGCTTTGAGGCCGAGGATACCGATGGCCAGTGGGATCAGGGTCATGGCCTTCAAGAGGACGAAGACGAGGATCGGAATGATGACCTTCTTCAGCTTGGACTTGCGGGCCTCCTGGACGGCAGCGCGACCCTCTCCGAACTTGACGTTGAAGGAGAGTTCGTCGTTCTCGATGTTGCGGGCGCTCACCTTGACGGACGATTCGAGGGGTAGCTTGAACGTGACGTCGTGGGAGCTCAGGTAAGAGCTAACATTGTCCAGGAAGGAAGCCTCGCTGCGTCCAGAGGTTTGCTCCTCCACCGGGTAGGAATTGCGGGTCACCTCGACGGTCTCTGATACCTGCAGGCGTGAAACGTGACGAGTCACTCTATTTCGCTCCGTGCCTATGAAGATTTCGACTTACCTTGAAGTTATCTTTGCGGAAGATTTGGTCCAGAAGATTGAGCACCTTGAACTTCATACAAGAGATTTCGTCGTTCTTTTGAGCACAATCGATTTTCGTCTGGTCAACCATGGCGTCCATGCTGGTGCCTTTCCAGAATTCATTTTTGGCGGGCTGCGCTGCAGCGACCGTCAGAATGACGCAAAGAACGAAGAGCTTCATGTCGTCGAGGTGTCGGCTAAGGTGCTGGACGTGCTCGATGCGTGCTGCTGCGCTTCGCCGAAGGAACTTCCGCGACTGATGCCATGTGCTTTGGGACTGGGCTATTTATACGAGGCTATGCAATATATCTACCTCGCAGTTTGTCTGCGGACTATTTGTCCCCTACTACGGGACTAATTTTCTTTTCTTTCAGTATGGTCTTCGATTATCGGGGCCTCGCGCATGACATGACTTCTTAATTACCTCCGGCCGACACGACCACCGAACCTGCTTACCTGCCAGCGGACGGATTTTCTTCTTCATCCTTCGTGTCTCCGATCGGTACGTCAATTGTAAATGCTCACTCTCGCTTTGTTGAAGATTATTTAATCGCGCATGATCTCCGTCCCGCTCGCTTTGCTACGTCATCGCTCAGTCTCCGACGCTCCGTGCGGAATGAATTTGCACGGCGAGAGTAGAGGGTGGTGATCGCGAGAAGAAGAACAAATTCACGATATTCCGGCTGGTGCTCCTGGCAGAGGTCTCCTTCGCGACACAGCAAACGGAAGATAGGAAGATAATACTTTCGAAGTTATACTTTGAAAAATACTATTTCGAGCGCGCAGGCGTTGAACTGTCATCCTATTGTCATCCTATTGTCATCGTATTGTCATCGTATTGTCATCGTATTGTCATCGCATTGATTTTGGCTCGATCGTTGAAACGCGACACGAATTTGAGGCAGACTTTCCATACGATCGACGGCATCGCGACCAAACGGTAGCACGTTTCCGGCTCTTCTTCTGGGTTAGTCGAGGTTCGGCTGGGGCCGCGATAATTATCGGCAACGCGATGTGTCGCTCGAGCGACAATTGCACGAGAGCGCCGCCCGCGACACATCGCACATCGATGCACATAGTGTGTTCGGCCAGGACGAGGCGTTTACTATTCTTTAGCATGCATCACGCGTCCTGCGTACTTCTTTCCATTTGAGTCTCTTGTGTGAGAATATGTCGGACAATCCTACCTATGATGCCGGACTTTTTATAACAATGAACTGATAATTGGATTTTTGGGTCGCAGTTAGCATAAGCATTTAGGCCAACGACCATCGATAATTTCAATTTAATAACACCCCCTTTCTCGTTCCTACGTCACCAGTCGATACGAACTCTGGGCTTTGTCCATCTCCTCCATCTTCGCATTTCTTCGCTCTCGACGTAAATCTCTCGAAAGGGATAGTGCAGGAACCTATAGTGCAGGATTATGCGATTCCTATTAAATTTGCACCCGTCCGTCAGGGTAGCGACGTTTCTCGATCACGCGACGCATATAGACGATAGCCGATAATAGACATTCGCCCCTTTTCATTTTTAAGGGTAGCCTTCCGTTTCTTCGTTTCACATTTATTCGAGCGCTATTGTATGCTTTTGCGACGAATAACCGCTGGTCAACGAAAAATCATTAAGAGTTCAATGAAAAAATAATTCTTAAGTTCGTCCGAGCTATATCTCAAACATATTTCTGTATTTGAGACATATTTCATTTAGTCATTTAGCTCAATGACACATTCAGAGAAATCTTCTCGTCTCTAAAACAATATAAGAATGGTCCCGCTTAAAAAGTCCAACTATCTAGTTCGCGCTTTGAGCATGCATCGAGCATTCGATATTGTATAGATTTTTTGTGAATCGCGTTCATTCGACTCATAGCCAGTCGATACGACAGAGGTTCGCATGTGAACATGGACTTGGATAATAAAAAGGTAAAAGCAACGTATGTGCGTCGTGTATGAAAAATGACATTTATTCGATGTAATAAATATTTGCCAGTTGAAATAAATAGTAAATAGACGTAAGTAGGTCTGATATGGAATTGTCTTTGGCTGCTGGCGAAACGGAGCCCTACTTCTTTCTGTAGGCACGGTAGGGTCCTTGAGGGGCAGTGTCCCAGTGGGGCGGATGCTCAACGGGAGGGTGACCGTAGTGAACGACCTCGTAGGCCACCTTCGGCTTCGTCAACTTAAAAATGAGCATAGCTCCACTGAGAACGAGCGAAAGGAGACCCAGGGTAAGAGCCTTCCAAGTCTTGAGGGCGATGAGGGCCAGGGCTAGGGGAACCAGTGCCGTCGCCTTGAACTTCAGGCCCAGCAGGAACGGAATCATGACCTTCTTGACGAATCCACGGCCTGAAAGAGAAAAAGAGAAAAAGGAAAAAGAATACGCATGACGTTCCTGAGATCGCCGTCGCACTGTGCCGGACGCCTTACCCTCGGTGCTCGTTGAGTCGGCCAAGGGGACGCTCAGACTGGAAGGGACGCCGTCGACCAGGGCGCGCGGTACGATCTTCGAGGCTGCAATGGCTTCCGGCAGCTTAGCCTCGAGACGGTGACTCGAGAGGAAGGCGTCGAGCTTCTCCAGCATGAGGGAGCGCAGAAGCTCCCTCCTGGCAGGATCGACCGAGGCGTAGTCCGCGTACTGGATCTCAGCGTCGTCCTCGGCCAGCTGACGCGACCTCACTACGGCCAAATCCTCCGTGATCGGGATCCTCTCCTGCTTGACGGCTTCGCTCAGGTAGGCGAGCACCTTCGGCTTGACACAGGATAACATGGATTCGCTGTCCACGCACCTGCAACGACGAACCACGAAATTGAGCCGAAGGCAGGGAAGATCAAGTAAAATCGAAGCCAAGAGTCTCCCTGCGCAACGGATGCTGACGGTGAGGCCGGGAAATCTGAAAAATTCTAAAAGACCCACCTGTAGTAAATATTTTGAAGGGCTTCGGCCGTGCTCCCGATACTCTGAGCTTTCGTCGCAGACGCGGCCAAAATGGCCAACGAAGCTAATATCAAAATCCTCATGATGGACGTCGACCGATCGATTTGCGAGACTAATCACCGAATGAGTTGCGCCACGGCGTCGCGAGGTTTTATAGCCCACGGAACGCAGAGAGACGTCCTTTGAATTTTTATGAGGCACGTGCTGTCCTCGCGAACTATCGAAGAAAGTATCAACGAGACAGATACCAGGCCGTTATCTAGGGTGCACTCCTTCCTATCCTCCTTCGCTTCCGTCACTCCTGCCCAAGTTCATGCATGGCACACATGCCCCGTACTTCCTCCCTCTTTTTACGTCTACTAGAGCGACACTCGCGCTTTCGCGCGCGATTCGAGGTCCGTTCGCGCTGCAGCGCTTTCAATGCAAATTTATTATCCCACTGTACAATTGTACTACATAATTACATAATAATGATCTCGTTGCCAACTAATTTATCCATCAAACTTCAAATGTATTATATTCCAAATTCCATATGGTAACATTGACACTTCGCAGTCGACTCTCTAAAATGATCAAAATAAAGTTCCAAAGGTTTATCCTTTCGTCCTCAAGCACAAATAGCGTATACTGACATTATCCAAAGGATCATTTAATTACTTAATTAAAATTTATTAGCAGGGGATTGGTTTCCGTAAACCCAGTAAAAATCGCACACATATATTTTCCACAAAACTCTTATATTCTCTTGTATATCATCCGTCTTATTTATTTCACTGAAACTACAATACATTACCGTTTTCATTCAATTGTATAACCTTTTATATTTCTCAAACATTAGCTTTTTCTTTTTTGTCCCTTGAAGCGGTTCGATCGTGAGAGCACTTCTAAGATATGGATCCGCATTTTGTATATATTCTTGGCAGATGCTCAAGAGGAATGAAAGTAGTCAAAATTGCACAATATACATGTAAATATACTTTACATGTTAAAATAACAATATTGTTTTTGAAATAACTCAGCTTCTAGGTGATGAACGTGGATGACGTTTCTAGGAAACACTTCTTTTACATCAAACATGACTGCGACTGATATTTCAATTGAAAATCTTGTAATTTCTTCATCATTTTTTACTGCATTAGTTTTACAGTATGTGACATGAAACTTTTTGCAATGACGGATCTCTGTCCCACGGCTTGTGTCACAATCAGAGATAATACCTTAAGTAGGAAATTTTGTTGTAACGAACCACATATGTACATGTTATTTACCGAAACAGAAACATTATTATTATTAAATAACTAAGTCCTTAACGTTATAATAATTGAAAAAATATTTATTTTCTAGCACTCATTATACTTTTAATTTACTATTTCGTGCCATGTAAAAGATATTGAGAATTCGAAATTAGGATAGATTTTCTGGAGATCATTAAGTCATACAGAAAGAGCTTGAAATAAATTAATTTATTATACATGGCATTGCAGATTAAAACGTAATGTACAGTTGATAATTTTTGAGCACATCTGTAATATGCAGATTGACCTCCCATTGTATTTTCGTTTCATTATAAGTGAATCAATCAGCAGTTGCATTATTACTAAGGAGCTTAAATGGAGATTTTGGGCATGGCACCCGAACATTTAAAAATACAGAATCTGACATCTCGTCGGTAGGCAGAATCCTGGATTCAGTTCAATTTGAAGATGTATCTCTAGAAGATCTACACGTCGGTGCGATTGCCGGCAGGAGATACGATTCCCGCACCGATACCGAGGAGGCATCTTGTGCCTTGCTCACTCGTGGCTCGTGGCTCGTGGCTCGTGGCCCGTGCGTGTCCTGTGCCCGTCGTCACATGCGTCTTGTCGGTCTAAAACGGGAGTAGCCGAATGTAGAGTAGTCGAACCAGGAGAAGGAGGCACGAGGTCACGAACAAGGAGTCATGAATGGCAAAGCGACGAAACGAAGGAGCGCAGCACTATTGTGCGCTGCCAATGTGACACGGATAGGAGGCGGAACAATCGCCGCCGTCTTGTCCGAATCGCGCTGCCGCAAGGTACCGCATGAATCTCTGGCCCGAGGAGCTGCTCTCGACTCCACGCTTCAGTTCTTCGGGATTCCTGAAATTATACATATATACGTAGCTTAGAATGACATGCAGCTCACGAGGCAGTATAATATTTTACACAAATAACTCTGTGTACACTGAGCGCCAACGATGACCTGCTGGAGTGAGGATGCTGAATCGGCCGACGGTTCTTCGAGATTCATCCCGCGTCAGGACGTCGTTGAAGCCGAGTGACGCTCATTGTCAGTGAACTATACTGAATTGTGGAATTGTGGAGTTGCGGAGTTGTGGAGATTCAAAAATTACCTCGAGAGTTCGTTTGACACCAAGTTGCTGTGCGGCGAGTAGAGACTCGGATTTCTGTACATACTGCAGACCAGCCTCTCCCTGCACCCTTCGTCGACGAACTTCAATTGCCTGAAAGTCTCGTCGAGTCTTCCGAGAATTCCTCCGTAGAACTCATCGTCGTACGTTGTCGATCCGTTGCTTCTAGATGACGAAGAAGACAGAACGCCTTCTGCTCGTCTCTGAGCGGCATTTCGATGCTGATCGGCTCGAAGCCCAGCAGGTGGCGCAAAATGTTGTTGCTGTTGCTGCGGAATGGACTGAGGGACCGATTGGACGTGGGCCGCATTCTGAGAGTGTACCGGGCTCTGATAGCTGTTTGGACGAAGATGAGCCTCGGCAAAGGGCGTGTTCATGCTAGAGGGAGTCGACTGAAGGAAAATCGGATTCGAAATAGTCGGAGCGACTCCAGGAGAGGGAGAGCCGGCAGTGCGCAGTTGTTGCATCACGACACGACGGGCAATGTCGAGCCTTGAATCTGGAGCGTATCCGGCATAAGCCAAATTTTGGGCCTGCACTCCTGCGGGTAAGTTCTTATCTGTCGGATAGACAGAAAAACGCACTGGTTTCGCGTTAGCCGCGTACTGGCCAATTCCGTAGGTGGACGCGGAGTACGCGGACGCCGAACTTCCGCGCAAGGAACTCGACCATGGATTGGGGACGGCACCGTGGCTTGAATCGTGTCCCGGTGCACGTCCCGGAACTGGAACTGGAGCCGGCAGCACACCGGGCGGATGATGCTGCTGCCCAGGAGTCTCCTCGTACGGATCCTCGTAGGGTTCTATACCCCACTCCTTGAGTTCTTCCATATCTTTCCTATACTGTATGTGGGGATGAGCGTAGTCGTAACCATCGAAGTCTTCCTCGTGATAAGGGTGGTCGTGATGATTGTGGTAAGCTGGCACAGGAACCGGGACTGGAACGTGATGGTGATGATGCGCGATCTGGAAGCGAACGTGTAAGAGTAGAGATGAAGAATCGCCCGTATGGATTTGAACTCGCAAGTGACAGGTACATAGTCCAATACGAGGGATCGTTTATCTATACACACATATATATATATATTCTGGCAGTTGCTTGGTTCAATTACCTGATGGTGATGATGGTGGTACTTGGTACCCTGAACCGTATAATAACTTGAGCACAGCTTGAAGATGTGTGCAAATGCAGGAATGAAGAAGAGCAGCAGCTTCAAAAAGAGCTTCTTCGCCGTTCCAATTCCAAAGAGAAATGGAATAATGAACATGAACTTGACCTTGATCAGTTTGATAATGAGCAGCAGAGCCAGGAAGCTCATTAAGAGCTTATTTTGAATAAACTTTTCTAAAGGGAAAATATAATAAAGTGTTATTAGAGCCGCAAAAGCGCGTCGCAGCCGAGCTCAGTCTAAATGGAGCAGCTTCTGGCTTACTTATTTTCTTGAAAATTCGAGGCTCGTTCGAAAGTCCCCGTTGTCCAAAGTCCAATCTGACCAAAGCGCCGCTCTCGTCGACCTCTCGTGGACTTATTTTGACGGTTGACCCTTCGAAGAAGAATTCCGGCAGCTGTATCTCGTAATCTCTAGTCGCTAGGAATTTTATAGCCTTCCCTCGAAGAGCGCTCGTAACCTCTTCGAGAGGCGATGCCGGTTCGTCCTCGGCCTCGACCTCCGAAGCCCTCCCTCCCTCTTCCTCCGCAAAGCTTCGTCCTTCCTCCCGTGCCTCGTGCTTCTCTTCCACGAGGTTCTCACTGAGTGCGTCATCGTCGGGCAGACTTTTCGCGGAATTGGCGCAAGCCTCGTAGTCGAGGTTGTTCCTTGTGAGAACGAGGCCACCGAAGACGGTCATATTGTCCCGATCCTCGAAGGTGTCATCCAAGTAGGAATAAACGTTTTTCTGAATGCAGGAGAAAGACGATTGGTTGGCGCAATCGCGGAGTAATCCGCGCCAGAGTTCGTTTCCGTGGCTCGCATCGTATCCCTTGAAATTTTTCAGGCTGAGAAACCTTGCGTATGATTTTATTTTCTCAAATCCCGATAACTGGCCGTTCGCAAGTACGATCAAGAGACACGTTAGAATGACGCGCCAATGCATCTTAGCAATCCAGCAGGTGCGAGCGGATCACTCGCTTCGCGGAGGCTCGAGCTTTCCCAATCCAGGCGAACTCTGCCGAATCTTTTGGACAAGCTCGCTGGACTCGGGGACACGAGAGATCGATCTTCCTTATCTACACTTTCTCTTTCTCTTGCAGTCACTTCGTAGCCGCTCATTCACTCGGCAATCGCGCGCGTCCTTAGGTTGTCCTTATAGGTAGTGAAGATCTGCACGTTGGCAAGCGCAAAGACGTCGCATGTCCACTGTAACAGTAGCGTCACGAGTCACCGTCACCGTCACCGTCACCGTGTCACCGTGTCACCATCTGCTGGGGATCCAACCCGACGACCTTGAGTCCATCGGAGATGCGCTTCGAGCGATCTCCCGTTTGACACTAACCTCGAAGCTGCGCCGTCTTGGCGGTTAGGATCGAGTCGAGCCGCGGCAAGTGTGTCAGAGAGCCTCCTACTCCGACGGACGACGAGGAAGGTCATTATCTTCTCGGTCGTCTGGGCTGGAGCGCCTTACAGCTAATACGTGAACGAAATTCGAAAGGCAATCAGCCAATCACCCTTTCGAAGTTGATCTTCAACTCGATCCTTCGTCATCGAGAACGCGTATGACTGCCCAATTTCTGCTTCTGACTTGCGTTTTCAGATTTCACGCGGACATGCAATTCTGGCGCGACAGGATTAGTGCGTTGCCTATAAAATACAAGGAGACTGAAAAAACTATAATTGAATTGGTAGCAGAAGAAAGAAGGACAAAGAGCGCTGTACTTCGGGAAGAAAGTATAGGTCGAAATTGTCAAGAGCGTAGCCGAGATCGAGTAGAAGCAGCGAACTCGTTCGGCGTGGCCGCCGGCTCGAGGTGGCCCCCGCTGCCCACCTGAATTCCATTGACCCACAATAGTGGCCAGCCGGACAGGCAGCTGGGATACCAACTTGCCAAGTAGGCGGCTAACGCGAGTAGCTGCGTTCTGAGTTCTGAGTTCCGAGCGGCTTTACACATTTGATCGCGTCCCCGAGAAACCGAGAAAGAGGCTATACCCTGTTCTCGGTAAATAAAAGATACGCGGATCACCGACCTGATCAAACGATTCCTTCATTCCTTCTACGTCGACGTAGATCCCTGGGCTTCCTGAGGTCATTCGATCGAGATAATCGGAAGCGCTGCGACTCAGCACCGGATTCGCGTTATATTTACCGCGGACGCGGACGATGGATTCCGGTATTTGAAGAGTGCAAGTTTGAATCGATAGAAGAAGGAAGCTGACTGCCCTCGGCCCGATACGGAGAACGGGACGAAGCACGCTAGTTTTTCTTCATTTAGTGAACTCACCGTAAAACGAGGACTTTCTCTGGGTTTCCCGATAGTCGAACCTCTCTAACTCTTAAAATTAGAAGTAAATCGATCTATACCCGATTCCCGAACAATGGTAGTCCGCTTGATTTGTAAAATTTAAAAAAAGAAGAGCCGAATAGAGCCCGCGCAGCGTCGCTCATACTTGGAATCTCTGCGACTGTGACAGATCACAGCGAATATAAATCGAAATTCATTTGGAGGTTAAAACGCATAATGTAGGTCGTCCGAATCGTAGAAGCACCTCAGGCTAAGGCATACGAGGTGAGAAAAAATGGGGAAAAAAACAAAATCAAGCAAATTAGTGGGCTAACAGGAAGAAGAGCGATTGAGCCGCGCGTCGGCACGAATCGCAGGAAACCGTTATTCATATACATATTTGTGCGTGCGCGTTCAGAATAAGGAATTCGGATGATCTTTGGACTAACTCGGAAAAGTATTACATCTTTGTTCGATAGACGGTCGCGTTCCATACTTGCCGTTCCCATACTTGGCACCCTCGTAATTACCAAGGGTGACACGCGGAACAGATCGAATATTTGCAAACATTTGAAAAGTGACTGGCCTCGGTTTTCCCTTGTAGAAATAATAACTGTGTGGAGGTAAGGCAATGCAACGCTTGCGCTGAGTTGGGCCGAGCTGGGGCCTGGCCAGGGCCCGTTTTCAATTCCCTTATAATGAAGGTGAAGTATATAAAATCCATTATGTTATTAATATTCATAAAAATATACCAAATATACATATAATTCATACAAGATAGTAATTGTGTTTATAAAATAAATATGGAAAAGTGATCGCATACTATGTTTTTACTTGCGGTTGTTGGGTACATACATACATGTACTGCATATCTATGCAGTATCTATGCAGTGCTGTGAGAAAGACTCGAACCTGCGATTTTCGGAATGCTCAAATTGAGGGAGCGTGCAGCCTCTACTCGTTGAGCCACACTTATGAATGTTACTTTGACTAAGAATTGTAAACATGAATAATTATACATATAATAGAAACGTTACAAAATAAATAGAAAAGTATTTCAATATATCAAGTCCAATTTTACGTTTAATGATTTAGAATTTAATTATATATCAGTTTGTTTGGTTCAAAAGGTGTGATTCAATCTTAGAAAACAAGTTAATTTGTAATCGCAAACGTTAAAATATTCAACATGAAAAAAATATTGTAATGTAGTTGACTGAACATCTCGTTTATATTAATCCTATAGAGAAATATGACTATTTGGAAAGTCTAAATGCCGACTCGCATCTAACCAGGAACTAGCTAGTCTGCTCTCAAGTTAAGAAATCGAGGGTTTCCCTAAATATTCTGGTGAGGCCATGTCCAGTATCTGGGCCTGCCTGGTTTCATTTCTACTAGGGTTACTGTCAAACGAAAGAGACGAGGACGATGTGTCCACTGTCTTCCAGGATGCAACACTCTATTCCATGATTTCGATAGTTCTTTCTTTCCCGGACATCTTTTGAGGGTTGCAATGCCTTTATTAAGAATTTAAATATAGTTATGTATTGAAAACGTTCTCGTCATGAAAATGTGTAATTCGTTGTATATTTATGCTGGCTGAGGACTGGAGTGGGGCGCTGGCATTGACGGCAGTGGACTTTGAAGTATCTGAATTCCTTTTCGTGTTTCGGTAGTGTTCATAATATCGAAAAGCAAGCGGCGCCGCACGAATCGATTGCCGACGTGGAAGTTGCGAGGCGATACCGTCTGGGGAATATTCCGGATTTTCGTTGGTCGTGTTTCGTCCAATAATCATGGATTTTTCATTGGAGCTACCGAGTGCGCCATTTTTGAAGCTGCGTCCCCAGCCTCCTCCGCCGCCGCCGCCGCCGCCGCCGCCACCGGCGTAATCGTAACCATCAGCACCTCCCGATGGCGGTCCGTAACTACTTGCTGGCGGAGCGCCGTAACTGTCAGACGGGCCGCCGGCGCAGCAGCCAGCGCCACCAGCACTAGAGCCTCCGGATGCCTTTGTCACTAGGATTATCTCCTTGAGAGGACCTGTAGACAGGACATATATAGAAGGGTCACGCAACTACATAATGCAAGCAGCCGCATTATCAATTACGACGTGACTCACCGGCTCCACCGCCGCCGCCAGCAGCGCTTTGCCAAGGTGCACCTCCTCCTCCGCCGCCAGCGCCACCTTTCTTCAAAGCCATCAATTTCTGAATGAGCATGAATTTCGATATCATCAAAGACATGCCAGCCATCATCATGCCTTTCATGGCAGTGAGCCCTATCACACCTGAAAAATAAATTTTGCAACAGATTATAGGATAACGCGAGTGGCTGGGCATGTGGCTTCGGGAACTCTTGTAGCGTACCCATTATTTTCATCTTGATCATCATGAGCATGAACATCATCATCCGCTTGCATTTTCCGCCCCCACCGCCGCCACCTTTGTTTCCCTTTCCGCCTCCTCCTCCTCCGCCGCCCATTTTCCCACGACCTAAAACCAATAAAGCACGCGCAAATGTTGGTAATTTTTAAGGGCAAAGATGATTACAGTGGTCCAGTTACGGTAGTCCTGTGTGAACTGGAAGATGAATAGGGAAGATGAGTAGGTGCCCCTCCGAAGGCATCGGGCTAGTGGACGGAGGAAATCTACTGGTGCGACTCGAGCTGCAAATGAAATAAGGAATGGAGCACAGAGAGGATGGAAGATGGAAGATGGAAGATGGAAGATGGGTTAAATTGACAAACCTTCAAGAAGATCATTGCGCTCTTCCTGAAGTTCGGCGGGTTCGGCAGGTTCCTCGAATTCGACATCTATTCTGCTGCGCTCCTCTCTTCCATTAAGTCGCGGCAGAGTGATGCGCAGGGAGAATGTCTCGAAGAAGTTCTCGATGGCGCGGTCGATCGTCTCGGCAAGAGGAGCGTCGACCGTTCGTCGGTCGGTTACCGTCCGGACGGGAGCTCGCGTCCTTACCAGCTTCACCGCTTCGCCGAGAATAGTTATCTCGTCGAGACGGCCGACAGCCTCAAGGAAAAGAGTCAAGCGCTTCCCGACGCACGTCAGCGACAGTTTGAAGATGCAGCCTCCGATGTCTTTTACAGGGAATCTCGGGAATCTGTCGTCGGCGTTTAAAGACTCGTTCGAGCGAAGCGACGCGTTCTCGGCAGGGACCATTCTCACGTCGACGCGCACGCCATTTTTCCGAAAGGCAAAGATTGCTTTCCCGGCGCCGGATGTCGGCGCCGTGGTCGGCGCCGGGGTCGGCGCCACTTCTTCCACCGCCGCCGCGTCGGCCGACACCAGTTGCGACTCGTAGGGCTCGATGTCTGGCTCGTAGTACTCGAGCGGGCGTGACTCTGCGCGATTCGCGTTGCTTCCCGCTCCTGTCACGTTTGGCAAAGGACAAAGGAAAAGAACAAGGACGACGAACGAAGAAACAGGAAGCGAAGGCTGCCAGAAGTTTCCTAGCGGATCGCTCGTCATTATCTTCAGATCACTCGAAGGATTCGCAGAACTCCCAGGAAATTACGTAGTTCTCTTGGTCGCGTAAATTTTTCCGAATTTACTCTTCACAAAGGAGGAAGTGATGTAATTCGTCCGCACTAGTGCACCCACTGTCGTGCGCTACTGCTGGCCAATCCTTTATATACAGTGAGATTTATGTCATTTCTGGATTTTTGAAAATGTTTCTCTTACGCCTCAGTCACGATTCCCATTATTCCTTCGAACTCGGAGAATCCGAATTAATGACAGACTGCGCTCGTAATATAATAATACTCGAGCGAGGCTCCGACAACTCTGGTGTTCTTATTCCTATTGTAAGATGTGCGTGCTTTAAAGTGTACATATTGTAAAAACAAAGTTTATTCGAAGGACAGAAGGAAACAATAAATTAAATGAAGGAAACAACATGTACATCGAGAAGGTTCTGGACGCATCGATTTCGACGCCTCCCTTCAATAAATACTCTTAACCTGCGCGGCATCGTAATCGTGGCAATAACGATGATAAAGCTAACGATCACGTGGGTGGATGCTATTATATAATCAATAGTGCGCCTAACGGTAAGTGGGGATTTGCCACTGCCGGAATGAGTAGGAGATTGATGGTAGAAGAAGAAGAAGAAGAAGAAGAAGAGAGATGAAAGACGGGACATTAAACGAACAGAGAGAGAGAGAGAGAGCCGGAATGAGTAGGAGATTGATGGTAGAGGATGCTATTATATAATCAATAGTGCGCCTAACGGTAAGTGGGGATTTGCCACTGCCGGAATGAGTAGGAGATTGATGGTAGAAGAAGAAGAAGAAGAAGAAGAAGAGAGATGAAAGACGGGACATTAAACGAACAGAGAGAGAGAGAGAGAGAGAGAGAGAGAGAGAATAAAGTTGCTGCAGTGGTTGACGGACGTTATGACGGACGTCACCGCTCACAAGCAGAGGCGCAACAGCGTCGAAAGAGGAAGGAAGATGGATTTGCGGAAGGTGAAACGAATTAAAGAATTAACTAATTCTGCCGGAGGGATCTGCGGTCGCGAACGTTGCCGTACTTGAGGACGGCGTCGTGGAGGTTCTCGTGGATCGAATCGAGCGACCGTCCGTATCCGGAGTGGCCGTATCCGTGACCATGATGCTCCTCCGAGCTGTGGGTGTGCGAACTCGTGTACACGGGCTTGCTCACGATTTCGTAGGTCGTCTTCTTTTCGCCACCGCCGGCCAGCGACTTGAGCCCAACAATGGCGGAGAGCATCAGGGCCATCAATCCTGTCATCAGAGCCTTACCGGCGAGAAGGGCCAAAGCGCCGAAGCCCACTGCTCCCAGGGTCCCTTTCATCATCATAAGGCCCGCCATCAGAGTGCCCATTCCACCTTTGTCCTTTTTGCGTCCTGTCAAATGGATGGGAGTTTAAGAATTTTCATAATCACATGCTGCCCCGTATATCAATTATTCTATTACGAAATCGATGAAAATTATTTGAAATCAATCGACCTGGGTCAAGCAATCGTCATGCTATGGGTGCTCCTAACAGACGTTCAAGAGCCAGAACAATGTTTACGTACCAGTCTCAACATTTTGGTTTCCCGAAAGTCCCAGTTGGGCGAGCGTCTCCTCGTTGAAGGCCCGAGCGGCCTCAAAGGTTCTCGGGTCGAAGAGTTTTATCGAGATGGCATGGCTGTTGAGGTAACTGCCGACCTTGTGAATGAGGTAGGCGTCGAGACGCTTGTCCACGTCATTCGGAAAGTCTCTGGCCAGATTTGCAACGATCTCGGAGGCAGGAACATCCTTTGGGCCATTCTCCTTGATTAGCGACACACCCGGTAGTATTCCCAGGTCCTCCGTTTCACCGAGCTTATCCAGGAAAGAAACGACGTCCAGTTTGAGGCACGTTGCGCTGTAGGACTTTCCGCAATCCTTGTTTAAGGTGGACGCAAGTCCTTCCGGAGACTCCTCGACCGATTGTCTGGCTGTTCGCTGCTCTATCTCGGCGCTCGTCCCCAGCACGAGGACGCTCGCGCAGCACACGAGCACCAGAGAGATGGACGCAGCCGAGTCCTTCATTGTGCCAATTCGACTTGAAGCTTCGAAACTGGATAATGGAAAGCTCTCTCGGGGAAGGGAAGGGTCGGGGAGCTCGATGTCGGGGCACTGGGCCGATATTTCCTTGAGCCGGTACGACGCGAGCGGACGAGACTCCTAGTGCGCACTGAATATGCCATCCAATAGTTCCACTATATATAGCGAGTCCAGGGATCCTTTTTCCCTTTTTTCCTTTCGATCGTTCATACATTCTCCAAGCAGAGCAGAGCAAAGCAGAATAGAGCAGCGCAGAGCAGCGCAGAGCAGAGCCGTCGTAGCACACACAGCAGAGGAAGGCAGCGCAGAGCACGGCTCAGCAGAGTGGAGGAGCGTAAACAAGCGCATGCCGGAGCGGAGGCGATCCTCTTCTTCTTATTCTTATTCTTATTGTTACTCTTATTCTTCCTTTTCCTCATAGCGTTCAAGGCGCTCGCGATGCTCGAGGCGAGCCCCTCTCGCTCAGCTGGTTGCGCCTTTTACTCTTAGCGTGGAGGGAGGGCCAGCAAATAGAGCGGAGAATTCAAATCTCAGTCAAAATTATAAAAAGTCCACGAGGAAAAAAGCGACTTCGCGGCTGGATATCATTTCTTCATAATTGCCCATGGTAACCTCGAGAAGCGCCGATGGATCCATTATGTACGTAGGATAGGATCGCTGAAAGTCTTGCGACATTTTGAATTTCGCTCGCCACGTCTTGATCGCTCTTGTTGCTCGGAGCTGCCGATGGGCTTCTTATGCAGTTGCGAGAGGACCAGCCACTAACAGCCCGAGCGTTGCGTCGCTATCGGCTATGAAGGAAAAAGGAAAGAAAAAGGAGAGAAAAAAGTAAAGAAGAAGAAAAGGCGCGGAACAGTGAAACCGCGAGACGGTTTTCGAGTCTTCGACTCTGATTCTTCGGTGACCGATATCCTTTTTGCATCCCTCGCGACTGGTTCTCTCGTTAGAAATCACTTTCCCCCAGGTCGTGCGCTCGTCACGCCTCCGAGAATAAGCCAATCATCCTCCTCGATCTTCGAAACGAAGGCGTCGCGCACGTCTCAACGGAACTACGAGCGGCCCACTTTCCCGGGTGCAGATTGAATTTTCGCAGAGCACGAAACGGACACCGAGAAAGTTGATAATCTTCAAGAAAAGAAGTGTGCGTAATGGCGTAGATGGTACGCGCCTAGGAAGGCACGCGTTCCGTCTGCTCACCATGCGGAACGAGCACGGTTCAGTCCCTTCGTAATATTTCTATCGGACTATCTGTCTCGAGTGGCCGAATCGTCTCGTTCCTTTTGTCAAGTGTCTTTCTTCGCGGCTAACGATCAGCCACTTTGCCCGTGTGGCCCACACACACCACCCTACTAGTTTTCACCTCAGCTCTTTCCTACGTTTTCACCTCTGGCGAATGGTAAAAAGGCTTAGCCAATTCCACTGGTTCCCCAAAATTCCCCCGTTCCGTCCATCCTATCTGTCTGTGGGCTGCCTCCACCTTGACACGTGCACACACGCGCGTCTCGATAGTATACAGAGCTTCATCGTATCCTTCCTCATTCTAACGGCTAGCTGATCAGTCTTTCCCTCTTCGTTTCTCTTCTGTACTCTTAATAAGTGGAGCGAACGGAGATCGGGTTCACGGTTGCCACTGGACCCTATCGTAGCCACAAAAAGTCGAGACGTGGCACACCTAATTTGCAATCTAACAATCAGTCTAGTTTACTCAGTTATTTTCTACCCCACTCGAAGATCCTTCCGCTGCGCAATAGCCAACATAATCGAGGAAAAATTGTCGTATTTGAGGGTCGTTTTACGTATTCGAGGAAATGCTTATAACTCTTTAGCTCGAACCGCAATGTTGCTTTAGAAGCTACTTTTCAAGATTTTTTCGAGCACTTTTCTTTCTTCCCTTCCCTCTCTAATCCGTCCTTGTCATAAAATGACAAAGAGAAGGGCCGGAGGGAGGAAAGAAGAAATCCACCTCGTCCTCTATCGACTTGGCATGTCGACAACTTCGACAACCGATACTCAGCTTCCGTGGGTATTTCCTGACATGGAAATCGTCCTTTCTACAGACCTCACATATCGGCACAATGAAGGGTTTACAAATTTGTAGGTCGCCGTTTTGGCTTCCCAGCAGATTATTAACAGCACGTGATCGCAACATTCGTATACATATGTATTTATGGTACCAAATACCATTACGCAAGTTGCATTATTAGGCATCCTTCGTACGCAGCCTGCGAGAATGTATCTTTTAAATTTTTATCAACACTTGTGTATTTTTTATGAAATTGCGACCAATTTTTTTCACTTTCTCAGTTGCCAAAAGTTCCTACTAGCTCACTGAAAGATATTTTCATATTGACAATTCAAAAGTGAACCACCAAATCCTTTGCTACTGTCGCATATTTCATGAGACTCAGTGATCCTAACCTAAGAAATTGCGAGATGGGAAGAGCTATCAATTTCCCATCGTTATATCCACCGTCAGGATGGGGTTTTCTGCAAGGACACGACAAGGAAAATATTTTTTGACCAGTGCAATACGTATAACTATACGGTGTCACTTAGCAGAACTGAAAATGAACTTGTAGGAAACGAAGTGCAATGCCGGCAAGAGGCACGAAGAAGGGAAAAAGAATATTCGCCTCTCGTTGCCGATGCGTGACCATCACTCGACCAGAGGTGGAAGAGTGCGCATGGCGAGCTCAGCGAAAATGGAGCCACCGACTCGCCTTTATACCGTCGCCAAGTTGAATCCCCCCCATCGAATCCTTTGGCCCGACACAAGGTAGTTCAAAATCAGTGGCATGCCCGCTCCGCTGCATCTCAGCGCGAAAGTAGCTCGGATCCCCCCTCCCCGCTTTCACACTGCCCCACTGCCCCACTGCCCCACTGTCCCACTGCCCCACTGCCCCGCAGATGTTTCCGTGCCCCCTTCGTCATCTACACCCAGCTCGTCTAACTGCTCACAACCGATACCGTTCCCAACTGCTACTGCCCCTCCTGTCACGATAGTCGCGCGAGTGTGTTGGGTCACTGCCCGAGCGTCAGGGGATTCGTGAGCGGCGAGGGGAGGAATGCTGCTCACTTTGTGCACGGCGACACACTGACCTTAATGCGATTTGCGCTGGCTAGAAGGACTTAGGAGACGCGAAGAGGGCTTCGGGTGGGCAGACAGAATATACGGGTCGCGTTCCCTCCAAAGTTTTCCTTTACGCTTTGCCATCCTCGTATCGGGGGGGGGGGGG